AGTGTCACTGGCCCTCATATGTGGGATCCGAACCGGGGCCCTCTGGCATCCCAAGCCAGTTCTTAACCATCGCGCCACTCGGCCGGCCCGGGTACTTCTTTTTTAAACGTTTTATTTTGAACTAATTTTAGACTTACAGAAAAGTTACAGACGTCTACAGAGAGCTCCCACATACCTTTCACCGGCTTCCCCTAATGGTGCCATGATCAAAACCAGGGAACTAACATGGCTCCTGTAACCACAGACCTCGCTGGAGTTCCCTGTTTCCCACTAGTGCGTCTTGTCTGCTCCAGGACCCCATCTGGGATGTCACAGTGCGTTTATTTTTCCTTGGCCTTCTGCCGCCGTCGGGGGTTTTTCCCTGGGTCTTTCCTTGTCTATCATGACCTTGACACGTTTGAAGAGTGCTCGAGTACCGGTCAGTTATTTGGAAAAATGTTCCTCCACCTGGGATTGTCTGAGGTTTTCTCATGATTAGGCTGGGCTTTGCATTTTGGGCAAGATTACCCCAGCAGGTGTGTCCGCCTCCATGAATCGTATCAGGGGTTCATGATGCCCATGTGTCTTATGTTGGCGGCCTTAACCTTAAGCACCTGAAAAACGGACACTTCTGAGAGTGAGGGGGGCGCCACAAAGTGGGCATACATTGGGACTGTCCTGGGTAAAGGCTCGTAGGGTCACCCTGAGGAGACCTGAGGTCTGGCCCAGTTCAGTGCCTGACCCTGTAGGCCCCGCCCCTCGGCGCCCAGGCCTCAGTTTCCCTCTCTTTATGTGAGGGTCAGTAGGATGTGAAGGCCTCCCACCTGCCCAGCCCATGTCACGTTCCAGGGGAGGCCTAACCTACTGAACCCGGTCTCGTTATGGTTGCCTGGATACTGTCACCACATTTATTAAACAGGCCCAGCAGGCGTTATGTCCCCATTGCGTAGATAAGAAATCGGGTGAAGAAGCCGCCTGGGCTCGCCTGAGATGACACAGTAGTGGCTGGGTCCCAGCTCACATCCACCTGACAGCAGCACAGGGCCAGTGCTGTCCTGGTCCTGGGGCAGGTGGCACTCTCACCCCCTGGAAGCCAGAGGCCAGGGTAGGAGAGGAGGAAGGGAGAAGCACAGGAACCTTTACTGCTTGGGCCCTGTCTCAGTACCCAGCCCTTGGCAATGTTCATTGTCGGTTTGTCAGTGCAGGGACGTGGGGGATGGGGGAACTATCCCCACTCAACAGGTGGGAAAACCGGCCCAGGGATGGAGGAGTCAGGCACTGAGTGGCTGAACTGGAATCTGCTGGATGTCCAACATTCTTTGATTTTTTTCCTTTTAAAATAATGCTCATCAGAGACATTTTGGAAAACGATAGAGACGTAATGAATGTAACATCATACAGCTTGCCCCTGAGTGTGGGCTTAGAATCCCCGGCTACCTGTCTGCAGAGGAGCCCTGGGCAAATGCCTCCAGTGCTCCGTGCTCCCGGTGTCATTGGCAGGTGGGAGAAAAGGTGCAGCTCCCTTGCAGGTGAGGATATTCAGGCTGGGGCTCTGCCGGGGCCGGGCTTACAGCTCTTCCCCATAAATGTTGGTTTTATGATTACGATGACAACTGCTAACATCTTCGTGCATTTGTTACAATTTTTACAGTGCATATTATATTACCTATTTTTTTTCTTAAAATTGGGATCATTCTGTATTATTTAATTTGATATTCCATGTTCTTAATTGCATGTTAGTTGAGAACAATTTTTACAGTATTTAAGAGCCCTCAGCAGCTGCAATGGGGCTTGATCAGCCCCGAAGAGCCCGGTGTGGACACTTTGTTTGCTTCTGCATTTCACGGGGCTTCATGGAGCCCCAGGGCAGCCTTCGTCCTGTGCTCTGAAGCCCCGATGGCTCCCCGGGGCCTCCAGATTGAGCAGGACCTCTCCCCTGCTTGGGCTCCCCCACCCCACTTGCCTGCCTTGTCATCCTGCCCACCTCACGGTGTCCCTGTGGAGAAAGTGCTCGCTGTCCTGCCAGCTCCATCTTCTCCTGTATCCCGGGGCAGGGTGCCCTTTCTGTGGGCTGTGCCCCTCTAGGGCCTCTCCCACTCCATCCACCCTGGGTCCCCAGCCCCTGCTCTAGCAGGTCGTGCTGCAAATTTGCTGAACTGAGTCCTGTGTGTGGCTTCTTAACTCATGCAAACAGACACTCCCAGATTCTCCACCTGAGATCAGTGTGTCAGTGGGAGCTCAGCCCCTCATTTTATGTTGGGGAACCTGAAGCCCAGCCAGGGATGCTGATAGGCTTAGGGTCCCACAGCAGGTTGGCAGAGCTGGCCCCAGATACCCAGCCTGGGGCCCCCCTTGCTGTCTCTCTGGACTCTCAGCTCCAAGGAGCAACTCATCTTGTCAGGAGCCTGGCACGGTGCTGGGCACCTAGTAGGTCCTCAGCGCAGACTTTGAGGCTGCTGGGCAAGGGGACATGGCTGACGAGCATAATGGGGCAGCCGAAGCCTGGCTCCCTGGCCCTGGAGGTGGCAGGTACCAGGCCTGAGACAGGGGCTTTCCTTGCCCTGAGCCCTGCCACCCTCTCAGTGCTGCTAGGGGACCTCACCTGCCTTGAACGCTTGCTAACTCCTGTCCCTTCCACCCACCACCTCGGTGGTCCTGGGTGTCAGGTGGGAGCAGCTTTTGACCCAGGCAAAGCCTGGCCCCAGAGTGTGTGTGGCCCCAGGCCGGCTGCTTTCTGTTTCTGCACACAGAGGAAGGGAAGGCCACTTTAGGGTGGGCCTGCGGGGAGGAGGGATGGTGGTGGTGTAACACCTGTGTGCAGAGACATTCCCCACCCTGGGCTGGGCCGAGGTAGGCAATGTTGATAACCCATTTTACAGAAGGGAAAACTGAGGCAGGCCCAGAGAATTGAAGTGATTTGCCTGAGGTTACAATGGGGAGCTAGCATTTGAGCCAAGCTCTGTCTGCTACCGGTTGTCTAAGGAATGAATGAATGAGAGGTTCTAGAACAGGGGTCGGCAAACTGCGGCTCATGAGCCACATGTGGCTCTTAGGGTACGTTCTGTCTCAAAAGTTTCCCGACCCCTGGAAGAGCCAATCCTGTCCCTCACAACAATTTAAAAATTATTTGAGAGCCATAAATATATTTTTACATAATCATATGTAAAGGATATTATGTGAATCGTATCCTTTAAACATTTCATGAATGAAACTATGATAGTTTTATTTTCATTTTTAATTTTACTTCAGAGCCACAGCTCACGAGCCGCAGTTTGCTGACCCCTGGCGGCTCTTCCGTCTCAAAAGTTTGCCGACCCCTGGTCTAGCGCATAAAGCGCAGGGTGTGGACTCGTACAGGCCCCACAGACCCCCCAGCCGGCACTTGGCCTGGGGAGGAAGGGCTGGGACACCTGCGTGGTGGAAGGGCCCCAAACTGGCCTGGAGTGAGGAGGCAGAGAGGAGGGGTCACTTGGCCCAGGAAACCCAGGGCCAGGAGTGAGGGTGAGAGCACAGGACCCTGGCAGCTGCGGCAGGAGCTGAAGTGGAACCGTCGGTGGGGACAAGGGTACCTGAGAGGCTCCTGCAGTCAGGTCAGCCTCTGGGTGGGAGCAGGAGTTTGGATGGAAGTGTGTTCACCTGGGGCTGGGATGGCAGGGGCTGCCAAGGAGAACCCAGCCCCTGCTTGGCTCGCTCATTTTTTTCGCACCACCTGACCTTTCAATTCACTGACCGATGAGTGATGAGGGGCTGGTAACAGATCCACCTCAGGACTTGCAGTGACACTAAAGGAGACGGTAGGCCTGACCCAAGGTCCGTGCACAGTAGGTCCTTGGAAAATGCTCAGTGAGGCCTCGGCCCAGCCCTGGATGGCCCCCGCCTCTCACCCCAGCCCTGTCTTCTCTTTCAGAGCTTCTAGGAACAGCAGTCGCAGCAGCGATGGCCCCGTCCTGGGTGCCCGCCGTGGGCTTCACGCTGGCTCCCAGCCTTGGGGGCTACCTGGCTTCCTACCATGTCCGCGGAGAGGGCCTTCGCTGGTATAACAGCCTTCAGAAGCCCTCGTGGCACCCGCCCCGTTGGACGCTGGGCCCCATCTGGGGCACACTCTACTCGGCCATGGGGTAGGTGAGCTCTGGCGCTGGCCTCAAAGCTGTGCCTGTCCCCGAGCTGGAGCAGGCGGGGCAGGGCCATTCTCCCCCTTACAGGGCCCCAGGCCTGAGGCAGAGCTCCTCCAGGGTTTTAACTGTCCAGTGCCCCCTGGGTAGCCGGCACCTTTTCTGGGCCTTGTTTGCCAAGTAAGGGTGGAGAAAGTTGTGGGATCTGTTGGTTGCACCACCAAACTTTCTCCTCCAGGGCCTCCTGGGAGGGGCGGGCCGGATGGCTCAACCCCACACTGGCATCCTGGCTGTTTTCACAACTCCAGGGTGAGACTGGCTCAGTGAGCAAAGTTCAGACGTGGGCCTCTTGGATGCTTCCAAGATCAACAGTGGTGACAGCAGCAGGAATCATAGTAGCTACCATTTGGTTTTTTTGTTTTAAAAAAAAAATTTTTTTTATTGTGAAATACACATTTTTTAGAATTAGTTTCAGCTGTACAACACAGTGCAATAGTTATACTTTTTACCCCTCAAAGTGACAACTCCCCGCCCCCAATCCGCCGCCCCACTCCCCCACCAATATCATACATATCTATTGCAATTCCCTTGACTCCACTCCCACACTATACTCCATGTCCCATGACCATATATATATATATATATATATATATATATTTTATTTTTTTTTGACATACAATATTATACAACATCAGCTTCAGGTGTACAGTGCAGTGATCAAGCCTCTACCCCATCCATGAAGCGGTCTCCCTAGCAAGACATGTGACCATCTGACACCCTACAAAATATTTACAACATTATTAATTATTCCCCTGTCTTTCATATCCCTGTGGCAATATTGTAGTTACCTATTTATGCTGTCTAATCCCTTCCCCTTCTCCCTCATCCCCACCCCCTCCCAACTAGCAACCATCAGTTAGTTGTTCCTCTATATCTCAGACTACTTCGGTTTACTTTGCTCGTTCATTCAGTTTTTTAGATTCCACATAAAAGTGAGATCATATGGTATTTGTCTTCTTCGACTGACTTATTTCACTTAACGTAATAGTCTCTAGGTCCATCCATATCATCACAAATGGTACGATTTCATTCTTCTTTATAGCGGAGTAATACTCCATTGTATAAATGTACCACAATTTCTTAATCCAGTCATCTACCGATGGGCATTTCGGTTGTTTCCAAGTCTTGGCTATTGTGAATTAGCTACCACTTGTTGAGCACCCCGCTCAGTGCCAGGCTGTCTTGGGTAATCTTCATGGCCCCACTATTAACAAGGGACCTCCCAAGAACGCAAGACTAGAGAGTAGGGACCCTGCAGAAGCCGCTGGACTAGACCCTGGGAATTGCTGTGGTGAAAGGAAGTGCTGCGTGGGGGCGCCCCCTGGTGGCGCCAGCGGGAACCGCAAGCAGGAGGTGAGGTCGGCTTCCTGCCCTCCTCTGGAATGTACCCTGCATCCTGGTTCTATGCCAGCCCAGGGCAGGGTGGGGCCACAGATGCCAGGCACGTGAGGAACAGGTAGCGGAGGCCAGACCGGTGCCCTGGGGTTCGGATGGGAGTAAGGTGGTCCCTGAGACCTGGGTGTTCCCTGGGCCCCACTGCCTGCCGGGTCCAGGCCCTGCCCCGTTAGGCTCCCAGCACTTCTTGTGTTCTGCTTTCTCCTCCCCCAGCCTGAGCCAGACACCTTGTTTCTGCTTCAATTTGCTTCAGTCTCCAGGCTTCCCCACTAACGCTTGACCATCGAAATCCTGATAAAGCGCAAATGTGGCCCTAGCTTCTCTCCTGGAACCTCGTGGGGGTTCCCTTTGGCCCTGATGAAGCCAAACCTCTCAGTAAAGAGCCCAGGCGCTGGCCCTGGTCACCTGGGTTAAAATCCTGACTTGACCTGCCAGTTGCCTGTCAAGGGATCTAAGACAGTCGCTTTACCTCTCTGTGCCTCAGCCTCCTCACCTGTAAAGTGGGGGTGATAATTCTGCCCATCTCATAGCGTCGTCCTGAGGATGAAATGAGTCACTGCTTGCAAAGGCTAGAGCAGTGTCTGGGTGTGTATGTGTTAAAGGGCATTAGCTGTTAGGATTGCTGGTATTATCGTATCACTTGTAGCCCTAAGGGCCCCCATGATCAGGTCCCTATCTGCCTCTTCAGCTTCACCTGTCCGGTGCCCCCAAGACCTCAACCTGAAGTCACATAGGCTGACTCAGGGTCTCACACTTGCCTTTAAGCCTTGGCATGTCCTTGTTCCCCTGCCTCCGGCAAACTCCTACTCATCCTGTAAGGTCCATCCCAAATGTTCCATCATTCTGTGCAGTGCCCTTGGCTAGGTTAGGAGCCTCATTTTTCCCTCTTTACAGCATTGATGATGATGATGATGATGATGATGATAATGGTAAATATTTATTGAGTGTCCCATGTGCCAGGCACTGCCCTAAGCACAACCAGTGTGTTAACTCGAATCCCCATAGCAACCCTTTGAGAAATGAAGGCCCAGAGAGGTCAAGTAACTTCCCTGAGGTCACACAGCAGTCAGTGGCAGGGCATGCCTGAGCCATCCCAGAGGTGAGCGTGGAGGCTCCTGGCCTCTTCCCTGTTGGTGCCCTGACAGGTGGCCTGTGTTTCAGGTATGGCTCCTACATGATCTGGAAAGAGCTGGGGGGCTTCTCGGAGGAGGCCGTGCTTCCCTTGGGCCTCTACGCTGGGCAGCTGACCCTGAACTGGGCTTGGCCTCCCATCTTCTTCGGCAGCCGACAAATGGGTTTGGTAAGTGTGGCCTTGGCGTGTCTCCCTGGTTCATGGACACAGCCCGGAGGGGTGGGCCTCCCTTGGGAGACATGGGGTGTCACACACCAGGTGGGGGCAGGGCGGACACTCACAGCTTATGGTCAGCATTTCCTCAGCAGCGCTTAGGGGACCGGTGCCTCCTGTGGAGCCTCCCACAGCTGTTTTTCCTCCAGTGCAGGGCTCTGACTGAAGCAGATGGGGTTGCTGGCTTGGGTTTAGGGGCCCTCTGTAGGGAAACCCATATTATGCCTGGTGCCATGCACCCCACACATGACATGGGTCAGGCAGGGGTGATGGTTCCCATTTTGTATATGGGGAAACTGAGGCAGAGAACTGGGGAGGGGCGTGGCCGGGTCACGTAGGGGTGGAATGAAGTCCTCCCTTGGGTGCAGTGGGTGGGTGCATAGCTGGGACACCCCCGAGTGGTACCTCGAGCCTCAGGCCTCCCTGTCCTCCCTCCCTCATGTCTCCACAGGCCCTAGTGGACCTCCTGCTGACGGGCGGGATGGCAGCGGCCACAGCCGTGGCCTGGCACCGGGTGAGCCCTTCGGCTGCCCACTTGCTCTACCCATACCTGGCCTGGCTGGCCTTTGCGGCCACACTCAACTACTGCGTCTGGCGGGACAATGACGGGCGGCGTGGTGGCCGACGGCTTGTGGAGTGAGGTGCCCTCCCCTCTGAGGGTTGTGGCTGCTGCCAGGCAGGCGTTGCTGGTGGTGGTGGCCCTCAAGATTTCATGGGCACCAGGCCTGTGAGTCTGTCTGGGTCACATCCCAGAGGGTCACCACCAGCTTTAGAAGTGCTTCGGGCTGAGCTCCCACCTAGAAACAGTGTCCTGCGCTTTCTGCACTGCTCAGGGCATGGTCTTGGAACGTGGAATTTTATAAGCCAAATAAAGTTTTTAACCTTCTGACAGTGGCCTTTTTCTTGGGTGGGACCCCAGTCTTGGGGGAGACGGGCTCACCCTCCTACTGGGTCTGTCTGGGCTGCGTCATCTAGATGAAGCTGGACCTGGTCAGGGCTTCTGGGGACTCTTCCCAAGACCCCATAAGAGGTGAGGTGGCCTGCCCAGGTGGAGCGGCCCAGGTTTGACCCGGAGCCCACAGTAGCTTGTGCTGCTGCCTGGCCGGCACAGACCAGGCTGGGGCCTTGGATTTCAGCTGGTGGAACAGGGCCTGCACATCTCCTACGCCTCCAGGAGGCTCAGCCCAAGCTCTCGAAGGATGTGGGCCCACAGTCTGCCCCGAGGCAGGGCCCTCAGTTGGTCCCCACCAGAACGGGGCTGGACACAGAGCTGGGGAAACCGACTGACCTGCCCCTTGGGTGCCAGCACTCTTGCCAGCCTCACCCCACCTGGGCAGCTCCGCAAACACCCAGTCAGTGAGAGATGTCAGAGGCAGTAAGGGCTGGTCCTAGTCCAGCAGACAGTAGCCCCGTGCTGCCCCAGGCCAGCCCACGTTTGGAGGTGTCACCCCTGGCTTTGAATAGGGTGACCCACAACCTTTCCGGGCGGCTGTTTGGAGTAAGTGAGGCTGGGCAGAGGCCTCACACACAAGCAGGCTCCTGCTGGAACGACACCCTCCTTTCCTGCTGTTAGTCCCCCTGTCCTGTGCTGTGCTCTGCGCCACAGCCTCCTGGAACCATGCTGGTTCGACCTGCTGGGCTTTTTGTTGCTTGTTATACTTTTGGTCGTTGAATAAGTTTATGTGAATTGGCATAATTTTCATATTTAGAGTTCTCACAGTCATTTCTGCAGCCGTGAGTTTTGCTGCCCCTCCCCTCACCCTGCTTTCAGCCTCAAATTATGAAAAGCTCATGGAGATGAGCAGATACAGCTGGCTGCATTCTTCTGAGAACTTGCAGATACAGCTGGCTGCATTCTTCTGAGAACTTCCAGGGGCTGTCAATGCACCTGCCCCCACTAGAATTTGATGCCCAAATTGTGCTCTGTAGGAAGCTAGCAGGTTTGCAGCTGTGAGCACCTAGCCGAGCCCTCGGCCTGTTCCCCAGTTTTTCCAGGGCTTATCAGAGCAGAGGAGTTAGACGGGGGACTCTGTGCATCCTTTTATTTCTAAAGTTCTCCAAGGTGGTCGCAGTGTCACGGGCTTCCATGCATCTGCCAGACGCCTTATGTAGCACTTAAGTGCGAGCGAGACCTCCGGGATCTTCTCAGTGACACTCATGTGGCTGCTTTTTGTCCTTCCCATACACCTGTGGGTTTGTCCATCTCTAGCAACATGCCACAGACATCCTACTGGCCCCAAAACATGTACGGCCACAGAAACGCCTGGAAAAATGGGAGAGGAGGTATTTTGCCATTTTGTTTGCTGGCTTTCTCGCGATGCTTTCCCCGTTCTTGTCAGCATTCTCGTCTTTTCCGAGCTGTCACAATCCACTAGGGACTCCAGGGTACTGACAATTTCCATGTTGGTGTAATAGGCACGTCCATACCTCACAGGTTTACCCGGTCCCTCTGGGCTGCTTTCTCTTGGAGCTGCTTCATGCAGTGGAGGTCTTAAATCCAAGTGTTTGCCTCCCTGTCCAGCCCACTGGCCATAGTGGATGCAAGACCAGGCTGCTCACACAGCCCAGAGGGCTCAGCGGGTGGGACATCGGCATGGGAGCCACAGTGACTCTTAGGGGCTGGCTGAGCCCTTTCGGGTTGTGACTGGCTACTCTGGACTTGGCAGATGGAAGGAAGTCCTGCCTCCCTCTCATGCTGGGGCTCAGCTCCGGACTCCGTGAGGCCGAAAAGGAACAACAACGGAGCCACAGATAGGGGGTTCATGCCGCTATACATTTTCGACGACGGCTGGTCGAGACACGAGAAGCAAGCATCTGTCAATACCCCAACAAGGGGTCTTCCTGCACTGCAGTCCGGCTGGCGGCTGGGGAGACACAGGAAGTAGGATCTGCAAGATCTGCGCCATCCTAACACCCGTACTTGCTAATGCAGCCGTGGGAGTTATATGCAAAACAATATAGCTAATGGCCAACTGGTTACAGCTGATGGCCATCTAATAACCGAGCCAGCACCTTTCCACGTGCGGCTGAGAGCCTGGAAACTGCCCTCCTGGCCCTTTCCCAACAAGCCCCTGTGCCGAGACGCTACCATGCCTGCGCCCCTCTATGAAACAGCCATGTTTGGGTGTGCTGGTGTGGCCACAGATCATCACTGAAGATGTTTTCTCATTTCACCGTCAGCATCTCAAGCTTTACCTTTTGGGTTTCTTCTATGTCACCCTGTGGAGCTTTGGTGCAGTTAATACTGCTACTGGAACTCTCCAGCCGACTCAATGTCTGACACAGATTCTGGCTTTTGATGAATTCTTAACAGAGAAAGCGACTCAGGTGAAGATGAGTATGTATGAGAAAGACCGATTTCGAGGGTAAGAACCGTCTGCACTGCAACGAGCCATGGGTCTGCTGGGACGGTGGAGGCCCCGGTGCTGATGGCCTTACTTGGGGCTTGTCTGATTTCCACTGACCAGAGGTGTGAGAGCATCTAGAATTGGGAAAAAGCACATTTATGATCCAGGGACCATGGGGTCTTCTGACCCCCGTGACTGTACCATGCCCCCCCGCCCCCCTTTGGAGTATCCTGGGCAGTCAGGTTTCAAGTGAACTGGGAGCGAGTGGGACAACTCCCGAGGATGAACGACCTGGTGTGTGCACCGTCTTCAGGGGCCGTGCCGCTCCTGTGAGCAGCTGCATGTGGTCCGGGCCGCTGGGTGTGTGGGGGTCTCTGCCTTCCTGTTGTAACATCCAAACCCGCCAGGGGGCATCACTTTGCTGGTCAACAGCCCACATACCCCTCCTGCACCAGCCTGCTGGGCCCGCCCGCAGACCCCAGCAGTTAGGGTCTCTGCTCGTCCCTATCCCCAGGATGGAGAAACAGGCACGGAGAGAAGTCCAGTCAATCCCCAAGGCTCTGATGTAAGTGTTGCAGCTAATCGAGTCCCAAGGACAGAGGCTCCCAGGAGTTGGTCATGTCAGGATGGGCCTCTGCTCCCCATCTGTCTCCATGTCCTGCTCTGAAATGGAACCAGCGCTAGGAAGTCAAACTGGGTTAGGAACTGCCATGGCCTGATCTGAGTGTTTGTCGCCCGAAGTTGGTGTGTTGAAATCCTACCCACAATGTGAAGGTATCCGGTGGGGCCTTTGTGGGGTGATTAGGTCATGATGGAACCCTCATAAATGGGATCAGTGCCCTTATAAGAGACCCCACAGAACCCCATCACCCCTTCTGCCATGTGAGGACAGAGAAGACAGCTTGTCTGCAAACCAGGAAGAGGGCCCTCACGACACCAAATCTGCCGGCCCTGTGATCTTGGGTCACCCCAGCCTCCAGGGCTGTGAGAATTTGTTTAATCCGCCCAGTTTACGGCATTTTGTTGCAGCAGCCTGAGCGGACTAAGATGGGGACTCGAGGCTTAACACCATCTTATGTCTTCTCCCATTTCTCAAGGTGCACATCTTGACGTTTTGGTTTTCTTCAACAGCCAGCAAGGCAAGCAGCTGACACCCATGCCAGGCCTGTGGTCCCAGGGGCCCCACAGAGAAGGGGAGGCGGAAGCACAGAAGGCATACTTTATTGCGGTACAAACCCCATCAGGTAGGGGTCAGGACGCCGGCAGCATTCCCAGGGAGAACCAGAGACGAGGTTTCCCACCTGCTACTGGCTGGAGGGAAGGGCTGAGGTTCTGGTTAACAGAGGGAGGACAGACACCCACACAGAGATGGGAGGCACCACTGGGTCCAGTTTCGCTACAAGGATTGTTCCTGGCTTCAGAATGAAACAAGCACCCTCACCCTCCACACACACAGCGGCTCCGTAGGCAGCTCTCCCCATTCCCCCCTGGAGGAATCTGCTCACCTTCCCATTAGCTGGGACTGGGCACACTGTGGCTACACAATATGCTGGCATCTGCCTCCAAATTTCAGAAACAACATTAAGAATGAGAACTTTATATTTTCCTCTCATAAATGAAAGAGTAACAAAAATCCAACATTTTGACTCTAGACTGGTGGAACATGGCATCTAACGTGAAGTTCTTGGTGGAATTGTCTTTTGAAGCAGTCCACTGCCTGGTGCTCCGCTGCCCACGCTGGTCCCCTTGCCCCAAGTCCGTCTGCAAACCCAAACCCGAGGGGGGAGCCAGTGCAGTGCCAGGCAAGCCACTGGATCCACGGGGACCAGGCGGATGGGCCGGCCCTTGATCAATGGAAAGGCGATGGCATACCAGGTGGAGGTGTGCTGGTGAAGGTTCTGGTAGGCCGGGGTTGGGGGGGTGAGAAGGCTGGTCTGGCAAGCAGGTCCCCAGGGCGTTCTGGGGATGCCCGTCACGCAGGGCCTCAGGGGAGGGGTATGGGACCCTGGCCTTGCTCTCAGGAGCCACAGGGCACGAGCAGACTCTCTGGAGAAGAGCCGGCCTGGCCCTGTTAACATTTGGGCTCCCAAAGGCATTCCTGGGGAAACTTGTTTCTGAGGACACCTCGTAATGCTACCCAGGACCCCTCTTTCGCCAACACCCCAGGAAACACGGCAGCCCAGGAAGCAGACTCTCAGTGATAAAGCCCTGGGCTGAGCTGAGGCTAATCACAGCAGACAGTGGAGAGGGGTGTGGACAGCAGCCTGGCACTCAGCCCTGGGGACACTGACGAACGCTGCTCCTGACGTATGCAGGAGGACCCTGAGACTCAGGGGTGGGACACTGGGACATGGCCTGCCTGTGCCCAGAGGGACAAAGGAGGGGGGGGGGGCTTTGCAGAAGCAGCTCAGAGACCTGAGGCCGGAATCTGCCATGGCAAACACAAGCAGAGGGGCCAGCGGGCGCCTAGACGAGGCGGGTGACGTGGCAGTTGCTGGGCTCGTCCAGGTACAGGGTGCTGAAGACGTCATTGAAGAAGGTGGGGTGGTACCTGCAGGCTCGCTCACAGTCTGGGTTGAAGTTCACCTCCAGGATCTGTGGCTGCATCACTCGTTTCCCTGGTGGCACAAAGCACAGGGCAGCTCCCTCTCAGGAGGGTGGGCTGGGGGCCACGGAGGACCTGAACTCGGGGTCTCCTGGCTTCTTGGGGGTCTGGCCCAAAGCCTGCTCCTCCCGGGGAAAGGCTGGCGCTGCTTCTGGCCCCAGGAGTCATGGGAGCCACCACATCCAGCTCAGACGTCCAGTTTAGTCCAAAAGAGGGGTGCAGACGCAAGCCTGGTGTGGGTGGGTTCAGCCCCTGGGGACTCTGGAACCGAGGTGGCCAGCCAGGGCCGCCGGCTTCCTCTGCCTTTTACACAGGTTTCCTTTCCTTGTGGGTTTTTTCCGACGCCACTGCAGCCCACCTGCCCTTCAGGCCATCGGCCCTCAATGGGGGTGCTCCCCAAACTCCTATCTCCCAGCTCACTAGGGGCAAAGGACAACCCAGGCAGCACTGACAAGTGATGCCCTCTTTTTCCCCTGGGGGAAGGGGGGTTTGGTGTGGGGAGGGCTGGACAATCGGCTTTGGGTAAGTGGGGGCGTGTATTATGGGGAGCCCCCCTCACCATCTGGACGGCTGTCCCACTTCAGCATGAGGTCGATGGCATACACAGCCCGGGACGAGGGGTAGTCGCAGAGGCCCAGAGGCGGCGGCTTGGCACATGCCACTTGGAACAGCTCAGTGAAGGCCCGGAAGATTTCAGCCTGGGGACCAAGTGAGGCAGGATCAGGGAGCCTACACGGCTCTGGTGTTGGGACCAGTCCCCAGAGCAGCCTCTCAATATGAGGTTCACTGCCCCTTCCCGAGCCCCAGACCCCAAATGACTAGTCCCCTCCCCCTACATCCTTCGTGTCTCCAGACCTGGCCATAGCCCCTCTGCCCGACACGTGTCCCTTCTCCCACCTGCCTGTCTCCTGCCTTGCAGCCCCCACGGTCCCCTCTGCTCTGGAAACGCCCACGCCAGCCTGTGTCTCCAGCTGTCCCCTCAGGTTTGCAATTCCTGGGACAGGCAGGGCCTGGGGACATTGTGTGTCCCAAGGGTACCCTGAATACCTCCCCAGGTCACCCCTGAGGAGCCCTCCACAGTACCCCACACCATCTCATCACCAGCCTGGGTGGGAGGAGCAGGACCACCTAGAGGCGGCAGACCGACACCCACCCGTGGCAGCCCTGGCCCCTCCAGCTTTGCTCAGGACTCACCTGGACGCTCTTCCAGGGAAATTCCGGATACTGCTTCTCAAACTCAGGGATGAACTCGTCACAGTGCACCTGCGACAGACACAGGGCCCGTCACACTCTGCCCCGCCTGGACATGGAGCTCCGACACTCGCAGGGGCCACAGGTCAGCGCCAGCAGCCTGTCCAGCCCACCCGCTCAGGGCACAGATGGGAAGAAGATGGGGTCTGAGCTCTGGATCGCACGGCGCGACTGGAGGCAAGAGGTTTACTTCTCAGAGCCTCAGTGTCTCCATCTGTAAGATGGGACACCATTCCCTGCCCAACAAACATACTGTGCAGGGCTGCTGCAAGCCTCAGTGACGGCCGCTGTTTAATACAGTGCAGGTGCCAGGAGGCAGCTCCTGTGCCTGTCTACGCAGCCTGCCCAGAGGACAAGCTGCTGGGAGCGGGTCCGGGCCTGCGGGTCTGCCAGGCCCCTACCTGCTTCAGCACCACTCCTGGGTCGTAGTTCATGACAGTGAAATGTTTCTCATAGTCGTCCAGGTCATTGAGCGAGAAGGGCCTGCAGGACAAGCGGACAGACCCGAGTGGGTCCCAAGCATGGCCACGTCTGAGAAGTGGGGGTGCTCAGAGCCCCCAGCCCCCTCACGACTAACTGTGGCAACTCCCTGGAGGCCCATAAACTACCGGGACCCACAGGTGTTGGCTCCTACTCCTATAGTGTGGCATAAGGGTGTAAATTTCGGCCGGGTCCCCTGCTGGGTGCATGGTGAAAGCGCCCCAGTGCAGGCTTTCTGATCCCGTTCAAGAGGGGCCCCTGCCCAGTCTCCCCAGTTACCGGTTGGAGAACCGCAGCCAGAACACGTCGTATACGAACAACCGCAGGGGCCTCACCGACCGCAGAAGCACAATATAGCGAATGTCGAACTTGACCCTCCCCACGTCTTCTCGAAGGAACAAGACAGGACTTTCAATGTACTTGGACACAACCTGGGGGACAGATGCAGGTGCACGGGCAGCTCTCGCTTCACCTGGGCCAGGACAGAGCACCCTGGAGGCACCCCGGCTGTACTGGCTGTGGACTCACGCTCAGGCATGTTCCAAAGCCATCCCCGCATCCCGGAGGAGTAGGCACGCTCTCTCGCAGCCCCCTCCCGCCCCGTCCCAGGGGCGGACCTCCTCCCGTCCTGACCTGCACTGCCTTCTTCCTCTGCCCTTTCAAACCCATCTAAGCTGGGACATGTTTTTTTTTATTCTCCTTTAACTGAAGGAAAAGATCCCGCCAGTTTTTAGAGTTTGAAAACTGAATACAAATTCTCTGCCTAAATCCACCTCTCCCCACCCCACCCTGCAGGTGTCCAGTGACCATCCTGGGGCACGTTTCCCGGGGACTCTTGCCAGGTGCCCGATCCCGTGTCCCTGACATTGCCTCTGACGTGCCCCATGTCACTACGGCACCTTTGTCCAGGGCCCCGAGGGGCTCCCTGTCCTGGCAGGGCCATTCCCTGCACTTGTGGTGCAACGTGTGGGGACTCTGAGGTCAGACACACCTAGGATCGCTCCGACTGAGGCGCCTCCTCTCACCTGGATGTCACACAGCCCCCCCGCTGGCAGGGCAGTGGAAGGCGTGGGTGGAGGCTTCAGACACTCCTGTGAGCCAAGTGACCATCACTGCCAGCACCAGGACCCACCCGCATAGGCCCTCGACACCAGTCCCCTTTGCCCCTCTCCCCATGGTGGGCCTGTGCACCCAGCACCCCTCAAACACAAGGCCAGGGCCCACCTTGGGGGTGCTCTCCCGGTGCCGGATGACGCTGTGGAGGCTCTTAGTGATGTGGGTGTCTAGGCTGCGGGCCAGGTTCCAGGGCTTACAGATCCAGTGGTTGTCCTCACCCCTGGGAGCAGAGGGGCCGGCTAGGCTGCGTCCTGGGCCTACCCTCCCGGGCTACATCTCCCCAGAACCATGGCAGGAGAGGGACACACAGCCTCCCCCAGGGGGCGGAGGGAGGTGTCACAGCAGAGAGGTAAGAGGGTGGGCCTTGGGTAGTAAGGAGGCGTTCGCTGGAGCCAAGGAGTCTGCACTCTGGTCAAGGACTGGCTCCAGCAGAGGCCTGGACCCCATGGCAGCCCTAGGTGGCTACAACACTCGGTGCCCACAGCTCCCAGCATCGTGGCCTGCACACAGTAGGTGCTTAGCTAAGAAGCTGGCTGGGCAGTGTAAGGACAGGTACACGTTGGGTGGGGGCGTAGGGACCTGACAAACAGGAGTCTCTGGCTGCACGGCTCCATGGGTGGGGGTGGGGGGGGGTGAGGGTGCCTACCGCCTTTCCCGCTGTTGGAAGTAGCTGACAAATTGGGGCAGCTCCGTGCGCAGGTTGAAGGTGCGGGGCAGCCAGGCCGGGCCCTCGGGGCCCCCTGCCCGGCGCGCGATGGAGGCCAGGCAGTCCTTGACCGTCAGCAGGTTCTCACAGGGGAACTGGTTCAGCAGCACGTGGGGCCTCTCCTGGCTGAGCCTCCTGTGGGTCCGAGCAGGTGTGACTGGCTCAGGGGGCCGCGAGGGGCTCTGGGGCGGGTGGCCGGAGCCCGCCGGGCGGTGCCTCACCTGTAGTCCTTGAAGTGAGAGAAGTTGTAGAGGACGTCGGCATCCGCCTCGCTCTGGGTGAAGGTGAAGCGTGGGTGGGTGAGGTGGCTGAGCACCTGCTGCATGTCCGTGTAGACCCTGCAGGAAGAGGTGGGCTGGGCCAGACCGCCAGGGCTAGAACTGCCCGTCGACCTGTCTGCCGAATGGTACACGACCCTGGGTTCCCCCGTAAGACGGGCCCACACTTATTGTTACAATGAGATGGGATAACCTGAGCGCGTAACAAATGTGGGCGCTTCCCTCCCAAGTGGAAACAGGTTGACACTAGCAATTTCCCAGGGACACCATAGGAACTTGACATGATAAGGGAGCTGGTGCCCAAGGTGCCTACAGGTGAGCGTGTGGCCAAGGTAAGCGCCCCAGATGAGGCCTCACTCCACACTGGTACTCATTGGTGCCCGCCCCGTGTAGAGCCGTGGACAGGGCCTGGGAGCCCGTCTGCTGGCAGTGGTGGAGACGGCCACACTTTTAAAGCAACGGGGTTCGGTGTGGAGGCAGGAGGGAGCCCAGCTCGGATGGTGGTGTTTCAGGGGAGGAACAGAAAGGAGCTAGGCTGCTCAGGCAGGGCTGGAGCTTGCAGCGATCTGAGCAGGCCTCAGGGAAGGGGAGGAAACGCCCAGGCCCCGCTGGGGCAGAGTGAAGCATGCTGGGGTTGGTGGCTGGGCCAGGTCTGGGCAGCCAGCGGGAGGGGCCCACTGGAGGCAGAGGCCAGTCCGCCCAGCTGAGCTGCTCTGCGCCTCACCTCCCCCTGCAGGGGAGCATCTGCCTCCAGGGGGGGCCAGCCTGGCCTTGCTGCCTGGCCACGGCCCCTCCTCGGCAGCCCAGGCGCCTTTCGCAGGTGCCCGGCAGGGTCCCCGTCAGCCCAGGCGCCCAGCCTGCACAGGCCCGGCGGCGTTTACTCCAGGGCCTTTGTCTCTGTGACCCTAAGGCCTCCACCCCTGGCATCTCTGTCACCGTCGTGCTGCCAGGACAGAGCGGACCTACCGAGTGCCTCCCTGAGCCGTGGGGACTGTGGGGAGTGTGTGAGCAAAGGGACTGAGGAAAAGCCTCAAAGCAGGCTGAGAAGGGGCTACGCACTTGAAGACGTGGTCGCGGGGAAACGCCACCGCATCAATGGCAAGTGGCAGCTTCTCTCTGTTTTCCTCCAAAATGGCCTGGAAGGAAAGGCAGTGGCGGTAGAAACAGACCTTTGAGAAAGGAAGCACGTGAACACACGCCTCCCCCATGCCGGCACACAGGGCTTCGGGATCTCAGGGGCACACCCAGCCCTCAGGTGGAGCCTTTCCCAGGCGCCATGGCATCCACCCCCACCCCGCGATTCTGGGGCTCAAAGCCCCTCAGGTGCTGAACAGCCTGTTCTGTGTCAAAAGAACCTTCTCCACGGCTACCTCCCACCCCCAGCAGGGGGCTGCCTGGCCCTCAGGGAGCCCCCGAGCCTGTTCTGAACCTAAGCAGTGTGGTGGTTTAAAACTTGCCCACCAGCTCTCTGGCACTCCCTTTGGAAGAGCTTAATTCATCTCCCCTCGCCTGTGGGCTGAATGAGTTGCTTCTAACAAACAGAAAGAAAGTAGAACCACCGTGTGCACTTCACCAAAGGCCCTGCGGCTTCCTCCTCGCTTCTCTCGGATCACCTGCTCTGGGACAAGTTAGCCGCCACGTGGAGGGGCCCACGTGGGGAGGAGCCCAGGCCACCCGCCAACAGCCAGCGCCACCTTGCCCGGCATGTGCGGAGCCACGTGGAAGCAGGTCCTCGGCCCCATCGTGCCGCAGATGACGCAGGCCTGGCAGAGAGCCTGACTGCGCCTCACGAGAGACTCCCAGTCAGGCGCACCCAGCTGAGCCCTCCCCGACTCCCGGCCCATAGAAAGCGCGCGAGACAATAAACGTTTGTTACCCGGTGACAGGTACCTAATGCAGGCAATCCCAGGGCCTTGAGCACAGGCCCGATCCAGTCGGATCAAATGGGGGCCAACAACCAGGACACTCGAGACAACCAGTGTTTGGCCTCTTATCTCCCAAGGAGAAAAAGACTAATTTTAATTCATGTTCCTTTAACAACCTCAGGATCAGTCTTGAGCTTTGCCCCTTTGCACTCACTTTTTCCCAAGTTTCCTAAGCACCCGCCAGGCACAGGTCCTACGAGCCTCTGGAACACAACTCTGAGCTAAGACGGCGATCACGTCTTCGGCATGGTTAGTTCCATCACCACTGGCTTAGATCGAATTTGAGGGAAAGCTGCCATGGGACTACTGTGTATGGCCTCTGCTCATCAGCTATCAGGTCTCCCTCATTTTGGACACCAGTTCTCCCACCAGCTGTGTGACCTTTGGCACGTTCCTTCAACTTCCTGGGCCTCAGTTTCCTCATCCTCAGTAAAATGAAGATAAAAATAGGACTGTAAGTCCTATTCTGTAAGGATTACAGTAGAGTGCCCACAGAGTGCTAGGCACAGGCTCCCTCATTGCCTGGTTTCCATCTGGGACCAGCCGATAGAAAGCAGCGGCAGGACACGGGAGGGCTGGGGAGAGGCAGGTAGAGGGGCCGGAGTGCGAGCCCCGGCGCCGCCCTGCCCGGTTCCGGCAGTGGCCGTGTGCCTGTAGTCTCCACTTCCTCCCTGCCCCAGGCCTCACTAACCCTGGCTGGCTAACGCGGCCCACTCCACCCCAGGTACCAGGCCCTGCATTAACTCTCACCATCAGCCAGGCACTTGTGAGGGGGCCGCCTGGGTCCTGGCGGGGCCCTGACCGAGAGGCTGCCCACAGCCTGAAGCCTTGGTTATCCATAACAATAACAGTAACGACAACTACTTGTTGAGGGTCTACTGTGCGCTGGAAACTATACCACACCGTGTTTGAGTACAGTGCCTTCCGTCCCTGGGGAGGGAGGTGTCAGATGAGGAAATGGAAACGAGGAAGGGCGGCTCTGGCCGCCAGCATCCAGCTTCACACGGCCTTCTGAAAGGGCGGTTCCCGGTGTCAGGGACATGGGGTCAGGACTCGGCCGGTGTTCACTCCTGAGCTCTGACCCCTTGTCTCTCAGACGCTCCCAACTCTTGTCCACCTCCCACAGTAGCCAGGCGATGACTGAATGCAGAAGGTTCCAGAAGCCACCAGGCAAACAGGCCCAGGGGATGGAGGGGACGGGGTGAGGGTCCCACCTGGTAGTGCTCGGCGGGCGGCTCGGGCGTACAGGAACTGAGGTCCAGCATGTCGGCGGGGGCCCAGGGCAGCAGCATGCACCTCCGGATCAGAGGGTCTGCCTCTCCGTAAGCGAAGTCCCGGGTCACCTCCTCTGCACCAAGACACGCATGCCCATCAGGGCGGCAGGAGGCCGGGGCCGGGGCGTTCTCCCAGGTGGGTGGGCGTGACTTACCGCCCGTGTCCAGGTCCCGCAGGGGCCACAGCAGCGTGTAGGCCACCTGCTGCGGCATGTAGAAAAAGGGCGCGGTGGCAAAGCTGGGCGCGTCTGAGTGCTGGATGCGCGAGCCGAACTCATCCATGATGTACCACACAGGCACCTTCTCCTCGGCCGTCTGTGGGCGGAGCACACACCCCTGTCCGTCAGCCCACCTGCCCACACCCAACACCAACTGCCCACTCGTCTACGCCCAACTCTGGGCTTGGAGCAGCTATCACACAAATGCCAGGCCCTTTAACGAAGGCCTCTGTGACAATGGCCCTGCACTGGCAGACCTGGCACAGGCCAGGGCCTGCAGGGGGACGCCTGTGTGCTAAAGGCACATGGAAACGGGCCACTTAGCCTAGTAGTCACGTGGATGTATTTGGTCTCGTGTCTATGGTTGGTCAAGAATGAGGGGCGACTTGTAGTTCAGGGAAGGCTCCCTGGAGGAGGTGACATTGAAGCTTAGATCATGAGGAACAACTTTTGTCTTCTCTTAACCTGAAAGTACTAGGGGGCTGGGGCCTAAGGGTGAGCCCAAGGATGCAGGGGGTGGGGTGACAAGAGCTTGAGGACATGTGCTAATAGGACTGAACTCTTCTACCGATGGCAGTGAGGACCAGTGAGGCCTTTTAAGAGGGTGACAAAACCAGAAGGCCCCAGGAAACAGGCAGCTGAGTGACTGGGCCCACATTCGGGGGTCTGAGGGCTGTGTCCTGTGAGTTTGAAGGCTGCGTAGGCCCCTGGGTCCCTGGTATTAGCTTATCCAAGGCAAAGAGTAACAGGCCCACGATGAAGCCATAGGGAACGAAGGAGTTTCAGTGAGCCACGGGAGAAGGTGAGTTTGCTCCCTTGTGGGGTAAAGGCTCCCGGGCTGGGTCGGGGATCTCCCGGCTGCCCCCCCCCAACCCTGGCTGCCCAGGGCAATGCAGGCCATGGCCAGGCCTGTCCTCTGCCTCCCCTGGGGCCCGGCTGCCCGCTCACCCCGTGAGACAGCTGGTAGGTCTGGTTGAACTTCCACATCTCCTCCAGCACCTGGTCCACGGCCTCGGCAGTGGGCAGCTCGCCGTGGAACTCGACGCCCATCAGGTTGGCCATGCGGTGCAGCAGCCCAGGCACCTGCTGCAGCTGTCGGCGGGCATGCTCCACACGGCACGTCCAGGCATGGTCAACGAGGAAGATGCTGTAGGCACAGGCGACAGGAGGGGTGAGACTGCCACATGGGCACAGCAAGGGCGGAAGAGGCGGCAGGTGAGGACCAAGAGGCCTGGGGCTGTGGCCCAGACCCCGCACCCAACCTGAGACTCGGTCTCGCTGGCACCGTGGGCCTGGGTGCGAGTCCGGGCTCTGCTGACCACTCCCTGTGTGGCCCTCTCTCCCTCTCCCAGTTTCTAACACAGGACAACAGGGTCCCTACGTCCTATCACCGGGCTGCTACCAGCATCAGATGAGACAGAACACTCAACGTGCTGACTGTGCACCAAGTACTTGCAGCCTTTGTGATGAGCACAGCACTTACTCGACTGGAGGACAGGCCACGCGCCCACCTTGCTGCCTGCAGCCTGGCCCATGGCAGGTGCTCAGTGAAGGCTGCACACACTGGGAGGCCAGCAGCAGGCAGGTGCCCAAAGCAGCTGCCAGGAGGAGCTCACGCATGCCTGTCTGAGACTTCCGGGCACTTCCTGGGGAGCACCAGGCCTTTTCTCGGGAGAGGCTTCACGTCCCCACACGTATGGACACCTGTGGCCCACACACTCTAGTTTCCGTGCAGGAACCCGGGTGGGGCAGCTGCACAGCTCGCGCACAACTGCGGTGGGGCTGCGGCAGAGGACGAGGCCATGCCCACTCCCCTGCCTCACAGGACACGGCTGCCTGGACCCTGTCCAGAGCCCTGCAGACTAGAAGGTTCCACACAAACAGGTGGGCAGAGGGGCCCTCGCTAAAATGAAAGGAAAAGCGAACATTCCAGGTTCAAGGTTGGGCAGCACGCTCAGCAGTAGTTACTGTGCTTATACAGTCGGCCCTCCTATCCACAGGCCCCACATCTGCAGATCCGACCAACCTCACATCCAAACTATTTGCAGGGCCGGCCAAGTGGAGTGCTGGTTAGGAGTTGGCTTGGGATGCCAGCTCTGAGCAGCAGGGCCCTGGTTCGAATCCCACATGAGGGCCAGTGATGCTGCGTCCTCTACAGCTAAGACGGTGAACAACAGTTTGACCTGGAGCTGGGCTGCTGTGAGTGGCTGGCTGGCAGCGGGCATGAGCCGCTGTAAGCCACCGTTTAATGGCTGGCGAGCAACTGCATCAGCCGGGGAGAGTGCATTGATAATACCAACATGGGCCAGTGAAACGACATCCTCCACAACTAGACTGAAGAACAAAAGGACAGTAACCGCTTCCCTTCCCCAATTCCCCAACGCTGTTCCCCTCCCCCAATAAAATCTTAAAAAAAACAAAAATAAAACTATTTGCAAATAAACAAGTTCCACTATTGCTGATGTATGTCGTTAGGCCTACGATGGTTGTGTCTGTACTGAACATGTACAGACTTTCTTTCTGTCATTGTTCTCTAAACAATACAGTATAACAACTATTTACATGGCATTTACGTTGCATCAGGTATTATAAGTAACCTAGAGATGATTTCAAGTACATGGAAGGATGTCTGTAGGTTATATGCAAATACTACAGCATTTTATACATGGAAATTGAGCACCCGTGGATTTTGGTATCTGTGAGGATCCTGGAACCAGGCCCCCACACATGCTGAGGGACGTCTGTGTCACTTTGTACACCCTAAAACAAACTCCTGCCCTCCTGCTTAGCTTATGACCGAGCGAGGCAGCGCAGAGCTAGGCCTTCAAAGTGGACACTGGGCGTGATCCTGGGCAAATGCACACGAGGGGTGATGTACACGGACGGTGTGGGAGAGATGATGGAGGCTGGGGCCTGGCACGTGGGGAGACTCAGATGCCTGGAGCAGGGAGGGCTCCGACCCAAAAGTCGAACCCACCCTCTCCCAAACCTGACTGGTGGTGGCATGTGAAGGGTGCTGAGAGGCAGTGAGCCTCTCGAGGTGGCCGCTGTGTCCGACTCCCCTGGCCTGGGCCCTGGAGCCAGCACAGGTGGCACCACAGCAGGCGCACGTGGAGGTTGGCTGCACTGAACTTAATGAGAAAGGCCAGCCTGCAAGGTTCTGAGACAGAGAGCATGAGGGTGGAGGTGCCTGGCTGCTGTAATTACCTGTGTGGCCACTCCTATTATGAGCTGGTGAAGGAGGCCAGACTTCCCTGAAGAGCTATGGACCCAGGGGCCAGCGACCCTCAGAGGCCAGCAACTAAGTTCTTCCTCAAGGTTCTAACAAAGCTTGGCAGAGGGGGTTGGAGGCCAGTCCTGGCCGTAGGAGGCCCAGTCTTAGCTCTGCCTTGTCTATGAAGCTCTGGGCCTTCGCATCCCTCACCTGAGGACTGAGACCATACTCCTCACATTCCTGCAAACAAAGCCCTGGGAGAACATGTTAACTACGGTTTCCCAGACTACCCAGGGACTCAGATTCAGCAGGACCGGGAGAGGCCCAGGGGGCTTGGAAAAGCCCAGCTCATGAGCAACTGTCCTGGGTTTGATATCCACACTCAACCAGCTGTGTGACCTTGGGCAAGTCCTTCCCGTTTCCTCATCAACAAAATCGGAACTTATCACACCTGTTGTAAGACTGCTGTGATGGGTGGGTACTTGGGGAGGCTGCTCCCAGGATGGAATGAGACTCGGCTAGCATGGGAGCATCATTAGTGTTGGAGCCAACAATGACCCCGAAGCCCAGCTGCAAGCACGGGGACCACAGGTGCTCGTCGCAAGGCTGGTTAAGCGGCTGGTGCTTGGCACCCAGAAAGCACGAGTGTCTGCAATTCGTGCTTTCCCCCAATGGTGACGGCCTTGGTGAAATCTCTCTAAAGGAAGCCTGGCCCTGAGAGCCACGGTGCGGGGGACGACGTCCCGCCTAGGCTCCTACCTGTTGGGGTCGGCCGCCTGGAGCCCGTTCTCGTTGGTCACGATGACCTTGTAGCAGAGCTCGACGCCCGGGTTGGGCTGCTTCTTGCGTGCTTCCCGGGCCGCCTCATCCTCAGCCTCCTCATCCTCCACTTCTTCCACTTGCATTATCCCAAACATCTCCCCTGCGTCGAAGACCTGGGGGCCACAGCAGGGCGTGTTGGTGGTATACGCTACCCCTGAGCCCTCGCCGCAGCCTGAGTTTCCACTCCTGGCCTTAAGGACAAGCTAGACCCCTTAGGAGAAGAAGGACCTACTGACTGCCCAACTACCCATTTCATAGGTGGGGAAACTGAGGCTCCCAGAGAACTCAGTCAGAACTGGGACCTACCTACCCCACTATCACTGGCGCTATCGTCCAAAGCCCCTCGCCCCACGGGACCCATGCTTGGAAGTGGGCCTGCACACGTGTGCAAAATTATATTGAGTTTGGCCCCATTTTACAGGGAAAATGAAGTCCAAAAGGAATAGGGGTGGCTCTGGTCACACCGGAAGTACATGGAAGTCAGGACCTTGGTGGCCAGGGATTGCACCCCAAGTTTGCTTGTACCAGAGGAACCAATCCAACACCAGGGGGGCTGAGGCAACCCAGAGGAAGCAGAGTCTCCTGTGGCCTCAGTGCAGCCCAGCCAAGCAGTGCAGGCCTGCACAGAGCATGGGCTGGCACTAGTCTCCTGAGGTCCTGGGCCAGGAAGATAAGGGCCTTGGTCCTTGACTTTCCCTGGCAAAGGACAACTGTCAGCCACATGCGACTAGTGAAGAGGACGAGTCAGCCACTTGTGTGCCGCGGAGCCAGGCTATGTGACCTTGAGCAAGTCACTGACCTATGTCATGCCTCAGTTCGCCTATCCATACAATGGGCACAGTAAGACCTACCTCAGAGGGTTGCTGGGAAGATTAATGATTAATACACACGAAGAGCTAGAACCTAAGCTGGCTCTGTAAGCACTTGCTGCCACCCTTCCACTTCCGAGGCTCGTCTCTCCGCTGGGAAGGAGGTTATCACTCACCTTCTAGGAGAACACACAGCAGGGACTCAACAGAGGCCAGTCCCCTCCCCCCCGAAACCTATTTCTCACGCTATTAAAAACAGAAGGAAAAATCATCCCAGCAGCTAGAAGGTAGCTAGCTAGGCTGGCACAAGCAGCTTTGTGTGCTGGGCAGCATAGGCACTCCGGGAGCGTGAGGGTGAATCACTCATGGCCTTGCCGAGACAGCTCATGGCCAGGTGGCAGGGAGAAGTAGAGAGGACCAGGTAAACGGTGCCGGACCTGGAGAGCCGGGAGGATTTTATGGAGGAGACATGATCAGAGGTGAGCGCTGGAAGGGGGAGATTTAAACAGGCAGCTGCAGGATGGTGGCGAAAGGGCTCCAGGCAAGGCCAGGGGCAGAGAGGGCGGTGGAGACCAGGTTCATCCAACAACAAGGGCGCTCAGGCACTTTCTGGGTTCTCCTTTAACCTCATAGAGCCTGGGGAGGCCACCACTGTACGTCCAGGTTACAGATTAGAAAGGTAGCTCATAGGGCTGGAGTTTACACTCTGAGCTTCAACCCAGACCCCAAATCCCCAGCCCTCAGCCCTCAAACCTGACGGGAAGGGAGGCAGCATGGTGGGGGCCGCCTAAGGTCTGGGGACAGAGGGCCTGCCTCAGGTCCCTTCATGAGTGGGGGTGACCACAATCCCTTTATGGTGGGACTGGGAGGTTCATGCAGACAGGGAAAGAGTTGAAATTTACTTGAAAACACTTTCCCCATCCTTTCCAGGGGAGCCATATTTTTCTAGGCAAGGCGCCGGGGTCATCGGCCGGCCTTGCTGGGGGTTGAGGTGGCCCCACTCTGTGGGCAGGTGCCTGTTCTGCTGGTGTGTGCCCTCCCCCACACCTGTTCTGCTCAGAACACTGACTGCAGGTTTGGGTCTATCAGAGTGGTGACTCACAGCTCTGCCCATACATGACCCACAGTGGCAGGGAGGGTCATGGAAAAACACAGGCTGGCCCTCAGCAGAGCAACAGCGAACAGGGCAGAGGGGACGCTAGGCTGGTGACTGCCCACTATGTGCTGGGCACTGGCTGAAACTTAGCTCATGCCTCTCCACCCCATCCCCACCAAGACAGTGGGAGCCGGGGCCGTGTTTCTCTGTCCCCACTTTCTAGGTGGAGGCTAAGCTGGGCGAATGACTTGCCCGCGTGAGGGTTTACTGCCCGTGGAGGCTGGCTGGGCTGGAGCTGGGAGTTCCCACATCGCGCTCCTTTCACCCAGTGCACGAGGACCTTTTTATCCTTGCTGACAAACTGCTAGGGCCCTTCTCACCCCAGCACAGGCCTGGGCCCAGGGCAAGTGCTCAGGAAATGCTGGCCGAAGACAAGTCTTTAAGGGAAGGATCTCCAATGTTACAAAATATAGGTATGTAGTGTTTGTCTGCTGCTGACACTATCTTCTTTATAGCAACCACCTGTGTTTTGAGCAGGACGGTACCTGGTCCAACCCAGATTTTACAGACAGAGAAACTGGGTGAGAGGGAGGGGTTTGTCCAGTAGCCAGGCTCAGGGGACACCCTTTTTCCGCCTCTGGAATGCCACCTAATCACCCGTACGGCTTCTTCTGTGTTGGCCGCAGGAGGCAGCCCCTTGAGGAGTAGCCTGGTTCCAGCTAAGGAGGCCCAACCAGCTGGCCCGTGAACGTGCTCTGGTTGCAGCACCCGGGCAAACTACCAAAAAAACCAGGGTCCAACCCTTAGCCAGGACCTGCCGGGAGACCCTTTGGAGGCCTAGGGCTGACAGTGAGCAGAATGGAGCCGTTCCCACAAAAAGGACTAGAACCTAGAAGCACCTAAGACCTTTTTCACTTTTCTTTATAGATTCCTTCTCCATCTCCCAAAGCCTCGGTTTTCTTTAATCTGCAAAATGAGAGTGAGCTGGGGTCAAACCAAATGAGGAAACATGGAAGGGTTCTATGACCCCAACAGTTAAAGCCACGCAAATTCATGGGGTTAATATTCTCCCCGAGGCAGTGGCTGAAAGAGCGCTTCCGGTTCTGAAGTCTGACAGACCTTGGGAAAGTCACTTCCTCTCCCCCAGCCTCTGTTTTCTTAATGGCACAGTGAGGGTGGCTGACTCCTACTCCTTACAGCTGTGGGGCTGGGGTGTGTGGGGAGGTCAGCACAGACCTGGCACACAACAGGACCCAAAGTTCATTTTAGCGCCAGGTTCCATGGCAGCCCTGGCCCAGCCCCAGATGCTGCTGGCAGGACCAGGGCCACAGGTACAGACCTCTCGCTGCCACTGTTAGGCCCCAAACTTCAGACCGCTCCTAAACTGCCAAGGAGGCAAAAGTCTAAGTCGGTCCTCGTAGGACTCCCGGCTCTTCATCGTCAAACCTCTGCGGCTTCTCCCGCCTAGCCCACCCAGGCTGCCCCCAGGGGCTCTCCCGGGGACACACACCTGTGTGTCTCACCGAGGCCTGCTGGGCTGGGCACAAGCTCCCCGCCCTGGAACGCGCTTTCACGCGGCAAGTTCCGGGACAGCCTCCCAACCTCGTCTGCACGTGGCCTCCAGGAGGCTTCCCTGCCTTCTCTAGGGGGCCCCAGGCCGGCCTCCCCGCGGCAACACTCCAGCAGCTCTTGGCCAAGGGCCCGCCCGCAGACCACACCCTTTCTGGTACAAGGGTCCGGAGCGGTCTACCCTCGACACGCCCAGGGTCCGCTCTGCACCCCGGTCCTCCCGGCCCGGCGCCGTGCCCTCCCCGCGTCGCCCCGGCACGCACCTCGTGCTCCAGCTTGTGCAGGAGGCGGCCCCAGTACCGCTCGGGGACCCCCGACGCGCGCAGCGCCGGGCCGTGCAGCGCCGCGAACTCGGCCCGGGCCCGCGCGTCCTCCTCCAGGTCCGGACCCCGCTGCGAGTTTGGCGCCGACTCCGGCGTCAGGACCGGCCCCGCGTCTGCTTCCATGGCGCCTCCAGCAGCCCCAGGTCCAGTGCCGCCGCCGCCCGCAGGCCCAGCCTCCAGGCTCCGCCCGCCCGCCCGCCGTCCCGCCTCCCTCCGGAGCTCCCCGCGCCCCCGCCCGCCGTCCGCCCGCACGCACGCACGCACCGGCTGGGCGGCCTGGGCGCGAGGCTGGGGGGCGTGACCCCGGGAGCCCCGAGGCAGTCCGAGGGAGCCGTGCGTGAGTGCGCGTGCGTGGGCGCACGGGCCTGCGCGGGCGGGGGGCGCGCTGTGGCTCGGGCTGCTGGTCGTGTGCGCACGCGCGCTGGGTGGGGGCTTTCTCTTTCCTCCTCGGCAGCCCTGCGGGTTGCCGGGAGGAGGCTGTATAGCGTCTCCTGTGGTCGGAACTGGAACTGACGCCAGAGATGGTCCACAAGGGAAACTGAGGCCCAGAGGTAGTGGTGTGGTTGAGCTGCAGCCCTGGCATCGAGCGGACTTGTAGGCCCTTGGAGGTGGGAGGGAGCGCTCTGATTCTTTTGAATGCTTCACCAAATTTAGGTGCTGCAAAGTCATAGGCTTTCTCAAATTCCTTAAATTTGAATTGAGGATGTAAATTTATGCAGTTAAAACTGGGAGGTTTTTCTTACAAGTTCGTCTGTAGCTCAGAATGTCATCTATACCTATGTTCCTTTTCTGTCTCTGAACTTTTCATGTATGTGGGGTCTCTGACCCTCTCATGCATGCGGGGTTCCCATGTGTATATATGTATTAAAGTTGGTTATTTTGTCTCATGTCTATCTGATTATTAGACCAGCGAAAAGAACCTTGAGGATAGAGGAAAGTTTCTTCGTCTCCCACGCTTCCACAGGGATGAGTTTCGTTATCTTCACGTTTGCAACTGGGCAATAATTTTATTTTGCTAAAAGGCTCAAAAGCTGAAGTTTTTTTTTTTTGGTGCTTCAGTTGCTGAATATTTTGATTTAAAAGTTTAAAACTGAATTTGAACAAAATGAGCCAGTTTAGAGGACTTGTTCAACGTGGCTCGGACACTTAACGTTGGTATGTAAAAACTCAAAACTTCCAAACTCCAGTTGGTGAGGGGCACAGAGAAAAATGTTACTGCCATGCTGAAGTATTTTCTTGTCTCTAACATGGGCTTTGTCACAAAAAATTTGTAGTTCACTTACTGTAATTATGAATACTTGTAAAAATTTGACAACTATGGTTTTTAATTCAATTGGTATAATTTTACAGCTTGTTTGGATGAACTTATTAACCGCATCCAGTTCCAAGTGCATTATTAATTTGCTAACAGTTTAAGTCCCTCAACACTGTGCCCCATCAAATTTTATATGAATATTATCACAGAAAAAGGCCTTCAGTGCTCAACTTCTTAACTGAATTTAGCTGAGCAGCAGTCACGGTAATGCTAGTTCTTCACTTTGAACAGAATGAACTTCTGAAAGCTTAATTCTGATTCCATGAACTGGATGAAAAAACTGGAACTAGCTGATGACTTTGGTACACATTGGCATCAACTGTGGAATATTTCTTCTGGACTCCACTTTCAATTCTTTTGGGTCTATTCCCAGAAGTTTCCTTAGACTTTTAAATCATTGTGTTAAGTGAACCAAGAAAAACCTGGTGTTTACCATACCTTATTTGGAATATTATTGTTTATGAAATTGTTTTTTCTCCTGTTGAGGGCATGACGTCAGAAGGTTCTCCACCTTACTGAGGAGAGTAGTGGCTTTTAGTCTTTTTGGGGTTCTCGATTTCTTTGAGAATCTGATGAAAGCTTTGAGAATCTGATGAAAGCTATGGGCTGTATTCCCAGAGAAAGGTACACACACACACACACACACACACACACACACACACACACACACACGGCACTGATCCTGCACCAAATTTGAGGGATCCTGGATCCCCTGAGCTCACTGACTGTGACTCTCAGATCAAGATCCTGGCTTGGAGGAATATCTCTCGTTTCGTGATGACAGTCATAAGGAGAAATGGGATTTGAAACACAGAAGTTTTACTTTCTGGCAGCTCATAGAAACGTGTCTGTTCCCTAACTTTGGGTGACCTCCCCTGCGGATCTCAAACTCACTGCTTTGCCTCCCAGAACTTGCTGTAGCTCCTTTCCTTTCGGCCCTCAATACATCCAGGACATTTATGAAAAAAAATTTTTCCTTTGTAAGTTCAGTTGTCTTTCCCCCCCCCCCCCCATCATGACCTCTGATGAATGAAAGGAGCAATATTTAAGTTCATTTTCTGTTTATTATTAAAGTGATTTTCACAAATGTTTAATTACATGCATATGTATGAACATAAAGGAGAAAACAAAACCTTGAATATTTGAGGCAACTAAAAGAAAAAGGTGGTTACACTGATATGTGTCACTCTGTGGGCAGTGATTGCCAAAGCGCCAGGACCGGGCAGTCCCTTCTGAGAAGCCCAAGGTAAAGGCTGCGGGCACAAGGGCTCAGCTCTCTGGTCCCCACCCCTCCAGTGGTGTGCAGATATCCTGCGTAAGAGCAAATGCACTGGCTCTGCTCGGACTGTTGGAAGGTTCTAAACTCAGCAGAATAAGAAGTTTCCACAAAAGATCTATGTGGCCTCTGGACCAAACAACAAAATACTTGGCATCAGCTAGCTTTCTCTTCCTGCCCTCCTTTTCACCACTGTCAGGTGAGGGACACCCACATTCTCTAATGAGTGTGCGCTGGGGCCTGCAGGGCAAAAATTGGGAAGGGGACACTCGACATGTATCCAGGGCTGTGCTCAGGGCCTGGGCTGGAAGCTGTGGGGACTGCCAAGCTGCGGTCTGGCTCACTGAGTGGGCTCAAGTTGGAACGGAAGTGACCTATCCACCAGGGGAGAAGGCAGAGGCCCATCTCTCTCTGAATGAGTTTTCAGTGCTTGTTCCAGAGGGAAGGACCTTCACTAAGCCCCCAACCCCCTACCCCTCCTTGCCCTCTCCTCTTCCTGCCCTTCAGATCCCCATCCCTGGACACCCCACTGCCAGGGCTGAGCCATCTGTCAAATTCAGTGTCAACATTTCAGAGATGTTTTCTACTTTGGGATCAGATGGGCTTGGTTTTGATTCTTAATTCCATGAATTATTAACTACTCGCCTTGGGAAGATCACTTGGCCTCCCAGAATCTCTAGCCCCGCATCTGAAGATCAAGTTTAGTCCCACCCACCTCACAGGGACAGCGGATTTTGTTTGCAGGTGGTGAAGGGTTGAGCTCAGAGCCTGGCCCTTCCTGTTGAGACTCGGGGCGTACAGAGAATTTCAGCAGGTCCGTTCAGGGTCTGAGGAGGCCTCAGGGAAACAGTGTCCTGTCCTTTGGGGGCCATCTGTGCAGGGTGCTGGGAGGGAGCGTGTGGCCATGCACCTCTCCTGGTACCCTCTCCAAGAAGCAAAACAGGCTGGGTAAGGCTGACTCCAGCTTATACTGGGCCTGTGTCTGGCACACAGGAAGTGCTCACTCTTGGAGGGGCTGGTGATCTGCGCGTGCTGATCAGAGGCAGAGGCAGCCGTGGGAGAGGCAGCCGTGGGAGAATAGGAGCTATTCACAAGTGTCTCACAAATGTCAAGTCCTTCTGTCTTTGGCCTGAACGACGTTGGCTGGGCGTTGTCCCCTGGTCAGAAGGGCTGGGCTGCTGCCACCATTGGTATCTTTGGTGAAGAAGACGGGCCTTGAGATAAGATGCGGTTTACCAGGTTGACTAACTTCCAAGCATGCAGTAGGGAGTAAAAAATAGCTGGTGTCCCTGGGTGCCAAGAAAGCTACCTCCCTTCTGAAGCATTGGCTGTACAGGCCCAGGCAGCAGGCACTGTGCGGGGGCCAAGCCCACTGTCCTGGGCGTGGTGGCCGGGCTCCCAACGTCAGCAGCGTTGGCCAGCGTGCGTCTCTCTCTGTTGGTGGAGGAGGCGGCCGCATCGTGAGGCTGGGCTGGCTGTACCTTCTCCTTCAGACATTCTTGCAATGTACATGTACGTCCCCGGCTCTGCTCTGCCCCTTCTGCGGACACCCTCTATCCTTACCGGGGGTCCTGGGTGGCACTGTGGGTAGGGACTCCTTTTTCTGAGAAGAGTGCTGGACTCTGCCCACCCCCAGCTCAGCCTCAATCACCTTTATCTGTGACCAGAGGGGTTTCCCACTGATCCCATCAACGCTCTGCCTTTCTAGGAGTCTAGCACACAGTAGGTGCTCAGAAAACATTTCCTGAATGACCCAACTTAGTTCAGTATCTTATTTTTCTGCTGGGGATGGTGGAGGTGCTGGAATAATTATTTCCCCTCGCCCCCCAAATGTGACTTAGGCACCTGCTATAGCTCCGGCAGGCCACAGGCCTCTTGTTGTGGAAAATGGGGGACCTTGGCTGTGTCTCTGGGAGAATGAGGGTTCAGGTAGGAAACATGCATTTGTAAGAAGTGAGGGAGAGAGGTTCTCTCTGCAGGCTTTCAGAATCAGCCTCTTTTGACCACCTCGATCTGGAGACTTTATAGCCTGGGTTTCAGTTCTACTGTATCTGTGTCCAAAACCAAGGGAGGATGGCAGGAGGGAAGGCGGCCAGCTTGGGGCTCACGGCCTCCTCAAACCTGTCACCGCAGAGGTGGGAAGGAGCTGGGAAGCACCGCCCTTGGGGGGCCAGATCTGGGAAGAATGGTCACCCACACTGGCAGATGCGACCTGGGGGTGCAGGGGCCCAGAGGCTGCTTCTGCCATTTGAGAGATGAGAGGGAGAGCTGCAGGGGGAGGGGAGCCAGCATAATGCTGCAGCTGCAAGGTTCTGGTTCAGATAAGAAGGTAACTGGGGAAAAACAAGCTGAATTGGGGGAAGCAGATGAGGTGACCTCAACGCTGTCTCACTGAGGGCTTGGTCGGCCACCAGATTCTCTTTCCTTGGCATGTTTCTGTGGAAGCAGAGAGTTCCAGGGAGGCTGGGATGTGGGGTAGTGAGACTTCTTCCAGGACTGCCGTCCCCAGTGGTGGGGTGCAGAGACACCTCGGTCTTCCATTGCCATCTCTGCAGAACCAAGCTCATCAGAGCATCCGGGTCTTGGCACTTGCTTTTGGTCCTGGCCACCTGGGCCGGCTTTTGCTTCCAGAAGCATGTTCCTTAGCTCCTTTCCTTGGAGTTCATTAACTGGCCAGCTCCTGAGGGTCCTCACCAGGCAAAAGGAAGGCCCAGGATGGGACAAGTCTGTGGCTGCTCAAGGCCAAGGTCCATCCAGAAGTGGGATGTCGTCCCCTGGGTCATCCTCTCACATCTTGCTTCCCCCTCGGGTGGCGTGGGACTCCTGTCCCCTGGTCCTCTGCGTCTGTCCTTCTGGACTAATCATGGGGACCTGCCCTACCTGGGCCCAGGGCTTGCCCACCTTCTCTTTTCTCTCCCTTTCACCTGGAATCAGGTGGAATGGCCACCTGGCATCAGCCAAGTTACCGCTGGCTTCCACAACATGGAAACGTGGAGAACGTGCTTTGTTGTCCAGGGAGATCCCCCAGGACCACCAAGCCCTGAGGACTGGGGACAGCTCTGAGTTTAACAGGTGGGACCCCCAAGTTCCCCAGCATGGGGCTGAGGGCTGATGTGGAGATTCGGGACAGACCCCATCCTTGGACTTGGCGTCCCCCTGATAGTGCGGGAGGTGGTTTTACTGGGAAGAGAGGCGTGGATGGTGACTGTGTGGGTTCCTGGCTACCTGGTACTCAGGAAGGGTGATGGGGCTGAGTCAGGGGACGCTGGGCAGGGTCAGACCACAGTGGTGTGAGGCCATGGAACGTGGGTAGACTCCCACTAACAGGGTGGGTGGGTTAGTGGGTACAGGAGGAGGTCAGAATGGTGAGAGGTCTTTCTGGTCCCCTCAGTTTTTTGGGAGGATTGAAACAAAAACCTCCCAGGCCCCTCCGTTGGAGCTGTTGCTGGGGGGCTCATTCTAGAGGACATTCGTCTAGTTTCTGGGGATGGCCAATGGCTTGCCAAGGGAAGACAGGTCTCTTTCTGGAAACCAAGGCTGGCTTTCAAGGCTGTGACCGGGGGAAGGGCAGTGTGGGCTTCTCAGCTGATACTGACTTACCCTTGGTAAGCGCTGCCCCTCCCAACTTGAGTTAGACTTTGGCAGAGGAGGCACCGATGCCGGTCAGGCCGGGGACTCAACGCTGCCGAGACAGGTATCGGCAGTGAAGAATTCCTGAGTTCCAAGCTTTTTTTCTGGACTGTGAAATTCTTCATGAGCTACCTGTCCCCAGCCCTGAATCTCCAGTGACCTTTCGCCTGCCATCCATCTTCACCCTCCTCAGCCTGGCTCTGGCAGGAGGAAGACACAACCTGCAGTGGGGATCGGGCAGGTTGATTTTAAGATTTCCCCGTGTTCCTTGGAGTCTGGGATATTTGTGAGCCCTAAAAATACAGACCACTTCCTGTGCATGTCCTGCGCCCGGTGGCCAGCTGTCCCCAGCAGGCAGGCCTCAGCATGTCTGGTCCTCACAGGCTCCATCCCAGGCGCCGGCTTCCTGGCTGAGTGGGACACCAGGCAACCTGGTTAAGCTCCAGCTTTCTTTTCAGAGAGAGACTCCGAGAGAGAGGCAGCATGGCACAGCAGAAAGAAGACCGCCCTGGGAGCGGCGCCTTCCGACTGCCGGGCCGCCCCTGCCTGGGGGCAGCCACTAGTCCTCCGTGGGCTGTCTCCCTCACAGGCAAAAGAAATGGGAGGCCCCTCGTGGTGGCACAGCCTGTGCTCACGTAAGAATGGCCTTGCCTCTGGTGGCATTCGGGCACAGCATGGACCCCAAGGTCATGGCCTCAGGGTCAGACACAGGCCCCTCCGAAGTTAACCCCAGGAAGGAAACTGCCTTCCACCACGTTCCATCTGAGGGCAACACTCCAGCAAAGCACTGGAGCTCAATCCCCAAACAACTTGTATTCCGCAGTGTGCCCAGGGCCAGCCTGCCTGCTCCCGGTCCTGCAGGCTCCGGGCCTCACGTAACCGGAGGCGACAAGTCCCTGGAGAAGCAGTTTCATCAGCCAGGGAAGCCAGCAAGAGCTGGGGCTTGCACTGGCGGGTGGGAGATGAGGTGGGGGTTGCAACATTTACAGTCACTTAAGAGAATTTGCCTAAAGTACCCACAAATAGAAGTATATTTATATATATATTTATATTTATATATATAATACTTAATTAGATGCTCTATCAAGGGAAAGCACAAATCTACAGCTTCCTCCCCTAGCAGCTCTTTTCTGTCCCACAGAATCCTTAGGGCCCAACCACAGGGCAACTGTGTCCTGGGCCTGTGGCCAGAGGAGTTTGCGGGTGGGGACGCCGCAGCAGGCATCGATACCGGCTTATCAAAGCCCTCCAGACATGCCTTCACGTGCCCTTCCTTCTAAGGCCTGGCTTCTTGTCTCCCTGGAGATAGCAGCAGCCACTCTCTTCTCTCTCCTGAAGTGTCATGCGGGGGGCACATGCAATCTCCAAATGTGTACTCTGTCAGGACCTCCCCGGGGGGGTGGTGCTGTGTCCTGGCCCCGGGACAGGGCACTCTTGGTGTCCTGGAAATGAGTGGGCGGAGGGAGAGGGGAGCAAGGCTGCCTTAAGCAAGTTTTCCCACTGGGGCGGCAGCCCGAGGAGTGCAGCTGGGTTGGGGGCTCTGCCTGGGTGTGGTCTCACCCTCCACGGACTGGTCAGTGTTTGTGGAAGGACAGCTGCCATGATGATTTCCAAGGCAACGTGGCAACATGGAGGCCCGTGGAGCCGCGTCTTAGCTTCTGCAGTGGAGGGCAGGAATGCTCCCCTTCCCCTCCCCCCGGGACACCGGCCGTCCCCGAGCAGGGCGGCTACACCAGCGCTATTTGTAAGGCCGCAGAAACCGGGACACTTTGGAGCGCAGCAGTTTGATGAAGGACCGTGGGAACATCTCCTTGGACTCCTGGGCTGTGTACTTGAAGTAGTTTTGGGGATGGGCCAACACATCGAAGAGAGCCTTGATGAGCTTCTTGTCCTGCAAGACAAGGCCGGTGTGCTGAGGCCAAGGGCTGAGGCCAGGCTGGGCTGCAGGGCCCTGGCCACACGCCTCTCCAGTGCCTGGGGGGCCCTGAGAGGCCCATGTGTGTGTGTGTGGGGGTCTGTGAGGATGGGGGAGGGGGAGAGGTTGGACTGGCTGGTGGGTTTCAAGACCCCACAGACTCTCTTTGCCATAAACAGTTTTTAGGTTTTAATTCTCTAATAGGTTTTTAAATCGTCTATTGGTTTTACCTCTTGGGGCTCCAATAAGACTTTATGTAATAAGGTTCTGCTGTAAAAATAAAACAAAGCAGTGTGTTGGGCGCCGGAACGTGGAGCAGAGCACAGGCTTTGGAGGCCAACGGCCCCGGGTTTGGAGCTGTAGCCCCACAACCTACTCCCTAGCTCCTTAACCGGGGAAATGGCTCTGCTGCTCTGAAGTTCAAGTTTTCATCTGGGTGATGGGGTCGGATCCCTCTGCTTGGGGCTGCGAGCAGGATGAATGAAGCAATGATAGCGGCAAATGCAGCCCAGTGCCGTGTTCTCCCAGCGGCCTCTGGACGGGCAGACACGGTCCACACTCTGACGCGTCACTTACCAGCTGAGCCCCCTCTCTGAGCCCAGGGTCGTCATCTCTAAAGTGGGGCGATGCCACCCTGGAGGAGACCCTAAGGAGGAGTGTGAGACCTGGCTGTGTTCTCCCCGAGGGCCCTGGCAGAGCCCCCAAGCTGGGCCCAGGAAAGGCGCTCAGTGGAGGGCCACCACCACGCCATGGACTCATCGCCACACGCACGTACTCATTGTCTCACTGTGACTTTGGCCACACTGGCCATCTCCGGGTTGGACCTGTCCCACAGGGGTCCCTCCTGTGTGCGGGAACCCCTGTAGCTCCGGGTGGCTGCCCGGAGGACAGGACGCCTGAGCTCAGAGCAGGACGGGTGGAGGGTCGCTGAGGACAGAGGTGCGGGAAGAATGTTCCCAAGAGGCCTTGCGATCGAGTGTAGCAAGTGTGAAGGTCCGAGAGCCCCTGCAGAGGCAGAGGGTGGCCCTGCCAGGCTGGGCCTTGCTGGCCAAGGTTTTTGTCCTAAAATATGGGATACTTCTAGTTCTGAAGAGCAGCTCTGGCTACAGAGTGGAGCTGTGGGCAGAGCGAGGGCTGGGCCGGGGTGGCAGAGGAGGGGCAAGGAGGAGAGAGTTGGGTACTGTCTATAGGACAGACCGACAGAGGGGCCAGGACCACCATCTGGTTCCTGGGAGGGACAGGAGGGGCTTTGGGCTCTGAAAAGCAGGCAAGCCCCTCATTCACAAACTGCCCACTGCGTGCAGGAGCACCGGGCTTGGGGCTAGAGGAGCCCAGCTTTGTGAGCCGCCCCCGTTTCTCAGCCAGGAGAGGCCAGGGCTCAGAGGGCTTGCCTCGGGCTACCCAGCTGGAAGTGACATCTAGAGCAGGCTGGCCCAGCCCAGCTCTTGTCCACTTTGCTACCCTCGGCTCCCAGGCTGGGAGGTGCCATCTGCCTAGAGGCTGAGCCCAAGCACATCTCTGGGCTGGCCTCTCATGGTGAGAGCCCAGGGCCCTGGCCTGGTCAGTGTTGGCTGCGTGACAGCCACAGCCTCCCTCAGTGACAAGATGGCTCTGCTTCTCAGGGCCATGGACGGGATGAGGAGGGAGTCAGTCGCAGGGACGGTGGTGCTGGGTTCCACTGATTTTAAGATGCCACCCTATCAAACTACTCCGACTTCATAGACGAGGAAAGTGAGGCTGACAGCTGGTCAGGAACCTGTCCAAGGGACACGTCACCAGGTGCTGGGCTGACCCCACCAGAGAACTTGTCTCAGACCTCCTGTTCTGGAAGGACATGTCAGCTGGCCCCTGCTCCCAGAAACCCCCAACCCCCGTCACCTCCTCCTCTCCTGCCACCACCCTCCTCCCCTCACCCTTAGGTGGGGTGGGGGCAGGGGTGGCCTTGGATTGTCACAGACCCCTATTCTGGGCTTACGTGGATCCCACAGTAAGAAGCTCACTCACTTTCAAAATTTCCTGGTGATTCTCCGAGGCGTAGAGCCGTCCATCGCGAACGATATCTTCTATTAACTGCTGGTAGTCCTCTGCCAACCCCGCCGGGAAGGAAGGAAAGTGGAGGGCTCCAGACTCACCTGCTGCCCTCTCCGTCAGCCTCTGCCCTCCCCTGCTCCAGCCACAGGCAGCTTTGCCTCCAGCCTTCGTGCCCTCCACCCAAATGGCTCTCCTTGGGGTTTGGCCAGCTAGAAAATCCTAAGTGAACCCTCAGGACCCTGCAGGCAGGACCTCGTGCTGAAGCCCGCAGACCCCACCCACTGCTCCCTCATCTGTACCTCGTACCCCTGTGGGCCTGTCTGCCCCCGTCCCCCAGGCTGGAGCTCCCGTCTCTGTGTACCCACAGGGCCGGGCGCACAGTGTGGCTGCACTTACCATCGTAGGTGACATAGGGCACTTGGAAGCCTTTGTCGCTGTTGCCTTCATTGGATTTGAACTGGACCCAGAGCTTCCGGGAGCGGGAGGTGAAGGCGATGGGCCTCTCGTAGGTCTGGCAGGTCTCGTACGTGGTGATAGACGTGGGCGAGGCTGGGGGCAGAGGCGCCATTGCTCCTCACCCGGCCTGTCCTCCTGCCTCAGGCTGCTCGCCTCCCCACCCACTTAGCCACCCGGCACCCACGGCGCCCAGTGCCCCAAACACTCCAGCTCTCTAGTCTCTGCACTGTTCCCTCTGCCTCAGTGACCTTCCCCACCCTCAACCCCAGCTCCTACTGGGTCTTCTGGGACCCGTTTCCTACCCCTCCTCCAGGAAACCCCCTGACTGCGCCATCCCCACCCTATCACGTTCTGCTCTAGTGAACCCTCTATTACGGCCCCTCTCTACAGGGTTGTCACTATCTCCTCAAGGACAGGGCTCATGCCTGCACCCAGCACAGAGCCTGGGTCATACTTGGAAAGTGCTTTCTCCCTGGGAGCAGATGAAAAAGGGGAGCCCTCTTTTTGGCCGACCCCTGGGGCTGGCCAAAAGGTGCCCCACCTCCTCACTGCTCCCTGGGGAGCCTTCCTGAGGAGCCCTCGAGGTGGGAGAAGCTGGTGCCCCTGCAGGCTCAGCCCTGTGGGTGGACCGTGGTGGGCAGGACGCTGAAGGCTTGGGGGCTGCTGTTGGGTGTGGGGGGCGGGGGAGGTGGCTCCAGGCTGGGCTCTGACTGGCCCAGGGCCCTGGGCAGCTCCTGGCCCTTTCTGGCCTCAGTCCTGCCATTCGCACACTGGGGCTTTCCAGCTCATCAGCTACACCATTGAATGGGAGACCGAGCCGAACAAAGGGCCACAACCTCCCGCTCCTTTGGGCCGGTCTCTGTATTAGGGACAGTCTAGGCCCACGCCGGCAGGCGAGCTTTTGTGTCGGCCTGTGTGCTCCTCCCTTAGCCTCTGATGGGCTCCCTGGCCTAAAATAGCGTGAGGTCCTGGCCTAGGCACACACTGTAAGGGATTTAACCTGGTCCCTGGGGGCGGGGAGGGGGGACTCAGGGCATCTCTGCCTTCCTTGCTGCTGTGGCCATTTGGGCACACACTTGTCCTCACCCACTGCTGAGGGGCCAACCCGCTGCTCATTGCCTGAAGTCTCACCATGAACCCCTGATGGGGGTGACCAGCCAGGAGGCCGGGGCTCACAGAAGGGTACAGACAGGCTGTCTGACTCTGGGGCATTGTGTGTGGGCACAGATTGGCTCTTTGCCCACCCAAGCCTCCGAGCGGGGAGAAGTCCCTGTGGAGTAGGGGTCACTCTCCCAGTCTCACGCTGGGCAGTGTGGCAGGATGTGGTGAGACAACTGGGATGAGAGATTGGCTTGTGGTCAGTGCTGAGGCCAGACCTGACCAGGTTCTGATGCCCATGCTTAAAGTACACCCTAAGCTTTCCAGACCTTTCCATGGAGACCTGTAAAGTCCAGCTCTTAGAGTCTAACAGAGATGAAACCCTGGGTAAGCTCCTCCCCGCCCCGAGGAGCCATGCCCGCGGGGAGGGGCGTGGGCCCACGGCTGAGGCCCTGCCTCCCCTGGCACGTACCACTCTTCCGCATGACCAGGACATCACCGCACTCGTCCTCAATGGGCAGGAAGATCTCGGGGACCACGATGAGGATCCTGCGCTTGGGGGGCGGCGAGATGTGCCACACACACTCCGCGTTGGCAGGGTAGTCACCCGGGTAGTTGGGGGACTCGATGTAGCCCGTGTAGTCGCCAAGCTCGCCACCGCAGTGCTGGTCTGTGGGCATCGTGGCCCGTGGGCCCGGTCAGGCCCGGCTGGGTGGGTGCCCTGGCCAGCTGGGCCCTCGACAGCCTTAAAGGCCCAGGGCCGGGCTGGTAGGTGCTCTGTCCCTCCATTGGCCCACCTCCACCCAGCCCTCCCCGCCAGCCAGCCAGGCCCTGAGCCGTTCTTTCCTTGGGGACCCCACGCCTCACTGGCTGTCCTCAGCCGGAGGGCAGGTCCCCATTTTGCGACGGTTCTCTGAGGCCCAGCCCAATGTCTGCCTTTTATGGGGCACCCTCAGCTGCCTTGCCTGAAACTCTGGGGCTGGGCCTTGTCCTGGCCGTCTGCCTGGCGCTGCTTACCCCTCTGGCATGGCCCCTCAGTGCCCCTGCAGGCTGTGGGGGCCCAAGTGAGCCCCAATTTCCCCGTTCTCTTTATTCCCTCATCTGTTCATTCCTTTAGTCAACAATCCCTGAGTGCCCACCAGGTGCCAAGCATGGCCCTCCCCTGCCCCCCCAACTTCCCCTCCCCCACGAAGCAGGGGACAAGCAGGCAACACGGCAAGGAAAAGGAGACACGTTTTCCTTTCTTTTCTGTTTTGGCTGAGCTATGTATCTTTGAGGAGGCCAAACGTGACATTTTTTTTATCAGCTAAATGGCTCCTAGCCTTAACCTTATAAAGGAAGTCACCTTTGTTATGCAAAGAGAATCGAATATAAATATTGGATGTATATATATAACTTTCTCATGTATTTTCATTTAAAAATCTTCTCACATCAGAATTTCTGGGAAACATTTCATTTCCACCTTGTCTTTCTGGAAACTTCCCTCCCACTTGGTTTTCCCATGTTTACTCATCAGGACATTTAAATGTCTGTGTGCGCTCCATCCTGGTGCCCCAGGAGGCCATGAGCCCAGCCCGGGAGAGGGGACGGCTCCGCCTCCAGGATTAAATCCCCTTCACAGGTCTTCAGGCTGTTCCACACGTGACCAGCAGCCCAGGCAAGAGATAGCTGGCTGGAAACTGAGTGGGGAAAGGGTAAAATACCCGAAAACATGCCCTATGGACTCTGAAAAATGAATTAAAAACATCTACGAGGAAGAGAATACTCTGTCAGGCCCAAATGCCTTGCTACTCCCCAGACTGCCCGATGCTGCCCACATTTCCTTGGCTAGGCTGAGCTTCCTGTAGACATCAGATGGCCACCTGGTCTTCCTCTTACACCTGCACACCCACTACGCCCTCGGCATCCTGATTCCCGCCTCTCAGGTGGTCTGGTGTCGGTCCACGTGGTGGTCTCGACAGCGTGTGGCTTCAGACCTGCAGGCCTGGCCCTTGGCAGCCGCCCCACAGGCCTCCCCAGCCCGGGGCCTGGCCGTTCTCTCCACAGACCCAGAGCCTCGAGAGCAGGGCCCGGCCTGGTGAGTGACAGGAACTGATGAAGGGTGGGTGCACCCTTCATGGGGCTCCAGGGGGATGCCCCACTGAGAGGATGTGATAGAGCAGAGAGGAGTCTCTGGGCCCCCCGGGTCCCCCCAACCTGCCCCGCTGCTCCTGGCGCACCCAATCCCCTAGCCCTGGGAAGGACAGCACCCACTTTTGCAATGCGTGACGTTGGTGGACCCATCAAAGTCGGTGCTGGTGTCGCCTGGACAGGTGACGCAATGGTTCTGGCCAAACTCGGGCTGGTACGTGCCGACGGGGCAGCGGATGCAGCGGTGGGTGGTGGTGTTGTAGTGGTGCCCTGGGGAGCAGTGCACTGTGGGGGAGGGGTGCGCTGGTGGGAAAGGGCCGGACAGGGGGCCTTCTCCCCAGGGCCTCCCTGCCCGCAGGGTCTCAGCACCGAGTTCAAGGCTCTTCCCCACTGCCCAGGGGCCTCCTACCACCCGCGCCAAGTCCCTGAATAGGCCGACGCCTCTGTTCCCTGATCCTGTCCACACCGTGCAGGGTGCACTGTGGACTTCTGGGGTCTGAGCAGCGGGCCAAGGAGACCGAGTCCCCGCCCCGAGGTAACGTCCTACTCGCATCACGAAAGCTGCAGGGTATATCTGGGGGCACTGGACAGGGAGGACATGTCCGGAGTTGTCAAGAGGGAGGCCTGGGACGGTGGCATAAAGAGCATTCTGTGTGGACGCCTGAGGGTGGGAGCTGGCTGGGAGACCATCTGGGGGGAAGTGGGGAGCACAGGCTGGGGTCAGGGGGGCCCACGGGGAGGTCGGAGGCCATGGTGGCAAGTTCCTGGGGTCTCAGGGGCCATGAGGAGGACGAGGCTTCCTATGAGCGGGGAGGGCCATTTGGAGCCACTGCATGTTCCCCGCTGCTACACTGGGAGTGGCAGCACCTGTCAGAGTGACTGGCAGAGGTGGCAGTGGCCTGGATCAGGGTGGCAGCAGTGGGCTTGGGAGAAGTGGCTGAACCTGGGCGTTTAGAAGGTAGAGCTGGCAGGGCTGGGACAGCCTGGATGCAAGGGGAAGGGGAAGGAGGACTTGGGGTGGCCCCAAGGCTCCCTAAGCCCCTGTCAGGACGGAGCTGTGCTGCACTGGAGGGGCAAGGCTGTGGGGAGAGGGTAAGGGGGGCGCTGGATGGGTGGAGTTTGAGGGGCCTATTAGATGGTGGAGCTCTCCCCTGGCTGGAGGGTGTGCAGTCGGGTTCAGGGAAAGGCTGGACTGGTCAGAAGCTGAGGTCACCATACAGAGATGCCGTTTAAACTGGGCAGGTGAGTTTTTCCGGGCTCACGAATGAGTGTTCTGGGCCTGGGATGGGCCTGGGGTACCCAGCACTGCCAGGGGAGGCTGAGCTGAGGCCTGGGCCACAGTCACGGTCACGGAGATGGGGACTGAGAACGGACTCAGGCTCCAGCAAGGCAGGGGTCCTGTAGCTTGCCCTGATGGGAGCAATTCTTGGGGAGCAGTAGGGGTGACAGTGTGGCTGGCTGGTGGGGATTCAGGAGAGAATGGGGGGCGAGGGAGTGGAGTCCAGACACTCGTGCAACTTCCAGGAAAACCTGGCAGGAGCTGGAGGGGAGGTGGGCTAGAGGTGGGGTTCTCTTAAGAACGGGAGGGTTCAGAGCAGTCTGTGTGTCCACTGGCTTATCGGGGACAGTGCCCCAAAGGCATGTCTGAGAGGGAGCAGAGTCATCCGTGGACAGCAAGGCTGGGGTGGGGAGGACGGCTGGTGAGCGTGGAGGGGAAGGGGTGACGAGGGGAAGGGGTGACGACTGCAGCGCCCCTGGGGGGAGAGTCTCCCGTTAAGGTGAGACCTCTGACCCTTGCTACCTGCTGCACTTCTTCACCTTCCTCCCCACACCCAGCCTTCCTTCTAGGTGCATCTCAAAGCCCTCCCCAGCGTCTGGAGGAGCTGGTGGTTCCCATTTGTTACTTGCGGGGGCTCGAAGTTTCAGCCTGTAACCTCTGTGCCTGCTCTCTCATCTGACACCCACGAGCAGGCTTGAGGTGGACCCTCTGTTGTCACATCCTAGTGTATGGCACAGTGCTGGTCCCCAATGTACCCGCCTGATAGCTCCAGGCTCCTCCTTTGACTGTGGAGGTTTGCCAGCAGGAATTGAGAGGCATGGAGGGAAAAGGGTCTGAGCAGCCCAGCCCGGCCTGTGGGGTGGGTGGGACGCCCTCACCTTTGGCCTCACAGTCTTGGAAGGAGGCTGTGCCCTCGTGCTTGGTGAGCAGCCCCCCTCCGCAGGGGAAGCAGCCGGTGCGTCCAGGCTCGGGCTGGTATGTGCCCACCGGGCAAGCCTGGCAGGGTCTGAAGCCGTCGGCGGAGAAGTAGCCTGGAGAGCACTGGCCTGGAAGTCAGAGGTTATGGCTCAGGCTGGCAGGAGGGCAACTTTGGTCCAGGCCCTGTTCTCAGCCCTCACCTGTCCCTGGGAAGGGCACCAGGGCACCAGGGCTGGAGTGGGTGCGGGTAGGAGCCTGGGGGAGGAAGCCTGGGCTGTGCCAGCCAGGCCTGGTCCCAAGCCGGCGCGCTGCCAGCGGCACGTGCACTGCGTGGCCTTGGCCTGGTCTAGCTTTACTCCCACCAGCAGGAAGGGCCGTGGGCTGAAGAGTGAGTGGCCTTGGTGCTGAGTTAGGAAGTGTGGACCTCAGGTCATGGGAGGTCATTTATTTCAGAGGGACTGTCCCCATGGGGCAGGTTGCACCCTGTCTTCACATGTTAAGTTCCGGCTGAGGCTGCCTTGTCTAGCTGCAGGGCTGGGCCAGAGCAGAGCGGGGAGGGTCTGCGAGGTCCTCAGGAGCAAGGCTGGGACAAAGGGAGGGAACAACACATCCTAGCAGCAAGTCAGGATGTAGTGTGTTTTCAGGCATTGAGTGAGGGGGTGGGTTTTGTGCCCTCTAAGCTCAGACCCTGGAATTCTCTGCCCCACCAGTGGCCACTCTGTGCTTTCTAATAGTCACCATCTCCCTGGGGGGCAGAGACCACACTCCTGGAGGGTGCAGTGTGCCAGCGGGCAGCTGGCCAGCCTGCACAGCTCAGGGCTAGGCTCTGATATCTCTGTTCCCCAGAGGGGGCTGGAGGTCTCCCTCACCCTAAGGATCCCACACACACACCCCCATTCCCTTGGGTGATCCCCACAACGGCCCTGGACAGGAGGAACCATGAGCCCATTTCACAGATGCCCACACTCGCCTCCACATTCAGATACGTTGCGGGCACCAGCCAGGCCGAGCCCGTCGCTGCTGGGGCACGGTGTGCAGCTGAGCTGGCCGTCCCCGTCCTGGTAGGTCCCGGGCGTGCATGGCACACATTGGCTGGACTCTCCACTGAAGTAGGTGCCGGGCTCACAGGCCACTACGGAGGCAAAGTAGAGATATTGCTCGTGGCACAGGTTCGGGGCAGTTTGTCTCCTGGTGCCTAAAGCTTAGGCTCTGTCCTATCAGAGAGGGCACAGCCCTTGTCCCTGTGACTCAGAGGGCGCAGAGGGGCCCTGACCCATCCTTGAAGGGTTAGGGGTAGGAGCCAGGCGGGGCCATCTGTGAGGCTCCTGGAGGCCTGACCCTGGTCTCGTGCATCCTCCTGGCTGCTCCTGTTCAGGGTCCTCTACGTCCGCCCTCTCGTAAACGCTGTGCTCTCATGCTCCGCTGGGGCCGCTGTGCTCCCTCTGCTCCACATCCTGTCCTCCAGCCCTGAGCCCTCGGCCTGTGTACCCACCGCCTCCGGGATGGGCCGCAGTCATTTCCTCCACACCAAGCGCCCCTGCCCTCCCCTTCCCTTCCTGTGTGGAGGAGTTGGCACCTGAGGACACGGGCAGGCAGAGCCTTGGGGGAGTGACAGAGGCGTGGGCAGGAAGGCTGAGGGTGGTGCAGAGAAGGCAGGCTGAAGGCAGAGGCAGTGCCCTTGGCCGCACTGAGCAAATGAGCAGACCGATGGGTAAATAAGGAATCTGAGAGACATGACAGCTAACCGTCACATGCATTCCTGGAGAGGAAGGGACAGCGTTGGAAGAGCTGGTGAGAGGTAACGGGGTTGGGTTGGAGGTGATGTGAAGGCTACACAAGCCCGCACACATGCACACCGGAGAGCACGATGGAGCAAACGCTGGAAGCACTCACAACGGGGGAGCCCGGGTGAAGAAGATACGGAGCCCTTTGTTTTGTCTGGCAGTGTTTCTGAAAGTTTGAAATCACTTCAAAGTGTTATTAAAAATAAAAGAATGAGAGCGGAAAGGCCGCTCTGTCCGTTGCACTGCCTGGACCAGAGTCCCGCCTGCCCCCGGCTCCCTTTCCCCCCGACTCCTAACCCCCCCTCTTCTCCAGGCTTCCCAGGTTATATCTCCGGGCAGCCTGTGCTCCCACCTCCAGATGTGTGGCTCCAACCACCTATTCAACGTCTTCACGTGGGTGACACACCGGTGGCTCAAACTAAATAGCACGGCTGGAACTCCCCATCTGTCACCCCCTCTCCCAAGGTTCCCCCAGAGCAGAAACGGGTGCCACCTCTGCCCAAGCGGCCCAAACCCTTGGCGTTGGCCTAGAAGCCCCTTTCCCGCTGGCCTCCCTCTGCAAGTGTGCTCTGAGTTTGTCTCATGCTTTCCACTTCTGCTGCCGCCTGGTCCTAGGCTCTTCCCTCTCCCGCCTGGCCTCCCCTCCACCGTCCACCCTCCACTCAGCCTTCCCGCAGCAGAGACGGAGGAGGCAGCTCCCCGGCTCAGCTTGTCCAGTGGCTTCCACCGCGCTCACGGCAGCACGGGCCCTGCGGCCCGCAGCCTGTGAGGCCCCCATGCCTCATCTCCCCTGTGGGTGCGCTCGCTTGCTTACTGACAGCCTCCTTTCCCCTCATAAACTAAACCCCATTGGAACAAAGACTCTTATCCAGTTCCCCACCACGTAGCCTCCTGGGCTGCCTCCAGACCCGTCCTGTCTCAACAGGCCAGCCCCGGGGCTCGGGCAGAGTCACCAGCTTCGTTCATCTGTGCCCTGGCTGGCCACACTGCACCCCTGAGTGGCCCTTGGCCTCACGCACACCTTTGCTCTGCTCCTTCTGTGCCCTCAGCTCCCACCCGTCCCCTCTGGGAAGCCTCTAAGCACACGGAGAAGTCCCCATGCCCCTCACGCCCCTCCACTGGCCTTGCTGGCCTGTGCATCCCTGTCCCACCCTTTTCTCTCCAGGACTGTGGTGCAGGTCCCAGGTACAAACTATCACTGAGACAGGGCCTTGCCCACGGCCCTGCAGAGGGTGAGCGGTCTTTCATGACGGCCATTATGGTGAGTGCTACGTGCTTCTCTCTGGCCGGCCTCGTGTTTCTCTGTCCCCTCCCTTGTGTGCTGTTTGCCCGGGCTGCATGTGGGAGGGAGGACCGAGTCAACATCTGAGGGGCCGTGGGTAGGGACTCACCGCATTTGCCATCCTGTAGCACCTGGCCTGTGCCGCACGCCCCCTGGCCCTCCAGGGCCTTGGCCGGCCGCTGGGCCACCTCGTACTCAGTGCCTGCGACCTGGACGGAGAACTGCTGGTGGCTGATGGACTTGCGCAGGGTCTTGATGGCAGCCTGCAAGCTCTGCTCTGCTCTCTTCCGCACGCAGTCCGCTTCGCAGGTATCTGCAGGGGTGGAAGAAACTGTCACCTGCAGCCCCCTAGGGGCTTCCCCTCTGCCAGGTACTGTGCTGGGTGGAGCCTCTGCTGGGAGTACGCTCTGGGCCGGGGCACTGTTGCTGCGTCCATCCGCCAGACGAGCAGACTGAGGCTCTGAGAGGTGTCACCTGCCCAAGGCCATGCAGCAGATCTGAGTGGAAATCAGACCTCAGCTACTGCAATGCATCCCCTCCGCATGGCACAGCTCACTGACGGGTGCTCCTTCATGCCACTCAAACACCCTGAGGCTGCCACTGTTCCCAGGAAAATGTCGGGCACTCGGGCCTTAAATCCAAGGACCCTCGTGGTACGGTCCCTGCCTGCCTTGCCAGCCCTAACCCTCAGCACCCCAACACTCACTGTGAACCCCGCTTTCCCTCTACCCTGCCTCACTCACTGCTTCCCGAACACGTCTTGCTCTGTCTGACCTCTGCGCCTTTGCTTATTCTGTTCCCTCTGCCTGAATGCCATTCTCTGTCCCCTCTTCCATTTGGTGAGCTTTGATTTCAAGCCCTGATTCAAATGGTTTCTCTCTTGGGAAGGCTTCCTGGGCCTCTCCCTGGGGGACAGACCTCAGCTCTGCGCCTGTTGGTTCTGGTGCCCTCCCCTCTAGCGTCTCCTCGGCACTGGGCTGTCTGTGTGCGTGGCTGCTTCCCCGTGGCTGGGCACACACCGCACACATTTGCTGACAGATCTCAGCTCCTCTGTCACAACTCCGCAGTCATTCACAGCCAAGAGGGAAGTGTTGGTAGGAAACAAGCCAGGGTTACAAGCCCCTCTGGGAACCTGGGGAGACGGGTCTGTGGCTCCGCTGCTCTGAGGAGGCTGCAGGCTTTAGCCCTTCCCGGCCCTAGTGAGGGTGTGGGCGGCGAGGGGGTGGGGAGAGGCCGTGCGGCTGTCACTGTGGGCTCAGCCCTGCTCCTCTCCGTGCCCTGGGTGTCTTCTTCCGTCCTGGGCTACAGGCAGGTGTGTCAAGGAGCCGGCAGGGACTCTGCCAGTCCCTCGCTTACCAGGCCGGCCTCCACCTCCAGCTGCCGGGGCTCGGGTGGGAGCCCAGCTTCAAGCTGGCGGAAGTCCGCCAGCCCTTCTGTTCTGCTGTCCTCTCTGAGGCCCTCAGCAGCCCATGAGGGAACCCCTCACCCACCTGAGGCCTCTTCCATCTTTGTCTCAACCTCGAACTCCGCTGTGATGTGGGTCACCTCCTTGGATGGGGACTTTCGGCCACGGCGCCTCTTCTTGGAGGAGTCACACTTGAGGGTCACAAATGTCAGGTGGCAGTTTTCTGGACAAGGAAGGGACTGCTGTGGCAAAGGTGGCATGGGGCAGGGATCAGGGTCCTATCTAGCCCTGCACACACAGATTGCTGTTGGCAAGGGTCCTACCTTGCCTAATAGTCCAAGGTACAGATGGAGAAACTGAGGCTGGAGAAGGCCAGGGCTGCCTTGAGGTCTCATAAGGGGCTGGTGGCTGAGCCAGGCCCTGCCCCCAGCCCTTCTGAGTCTGTCACATGGAGGCACCTTGGCATATTCCTGGAGCAGCTCCAGCTCAGGCAACTCGGCCCATGCTGGGCCTGCTGAGTGCTGGGATCTGTCAGGTTTGAGGAGGAATTCTACGGTGTTTAGGGATCTTCACCGAAACAGGGCTGGGCCCTTTTCACCAAGCTTTCCCTCACTGTTCCCCAGCCCGGACATCCTTCTTGGCCACTGTCACTTAAGAACGAGCCTCTGAGTGAGCTCTGTGATTCCTGCCGTGTGGACACTGCCAGGAAGTGCAGAAAAACCTCGCCCTAGGAGCTCATATAACCCTGGTGAGGCAGGGACGATGCACCCCAGGGAGGCGGGGGGACCCAAGCTTTCCACTCAATGCTGACCGCCTTCCCAAGGGACCCCACCACTGTCTACAGTGCACAGGCGGCACACCTGGGCTAAAGGACCATGGTGGGAAGGATGAAGAGGCCCCACCTTTGGAAACCCAGCCCTGCTGGACCCTGGCTCCCAGCTCCCAGGCACGGGGACCCCCACTGCTCCCTGTGTGGTTGGCACCCAGGTGGCCACTCACCCAGCAGCAGCTGCCTCGGGGCCTCCTTCGTGGGCTCCCGGCTGTGGGGCTGGAGGTGGCACTTGGCATCACGGATCTTGAAGCGAGCCTTCTGCCTGATGGGGGTGGTGGGGGCACCTGGGGAAAGCCAAAGTCCCCCCAGGTGGTGGCCTCTTCTGTGGGCGGGGTGGTGGTGGGGGCCGGGGGCTGCAGAGGGAGTGCCTGAGTGTGAGGGGGCTGCCAGGGGGACAAGTCCACCAGGAGCTGGGGGTGGGGGCACCTCCGCTGCCTCATTTCTCTCCCTGCAAGGCCTGAAAAAGGTGAAAGTGTGGACAGTGGGGTCAAGCTCAAGCCAGGTTGCTCGTGCTTTCAGGAGAAGGGGCAGAAGAGAGAGGGAAGCAAAGAAGGGGATAGCGCAGCTGCCCAAACCACTGATTCCTTCGAAGAGCCAATCACAGACAGCCCCTTGGACTAAAGACGCCTATAGTCACAGGTGCTTAGAATCACCCCATGGATGTATTAAACACATACAGATGCAACCACATCATTGAATCCAGCAGCCTGAATAGGAAAAGGTGCTGAAGACACGACCCCTGCCCCTGCAGGTGGGGGAGCTGGCTGAGCTGTGCTGACAGGGACCAGCCTGTGCGTCCCAAAGGGCATGGGAGTGGCATGTCTCCAGCACTTCTGGGCAGCTCTGACTCGGGACCTTTTAGAACCTGATGGCCACAGCAGATGTGACCCATCCACTGAAACGGCGCCTGAGCCGCGCAGACTCATGGCACCTCAGGGACACTGAACCACTCTGGTGCTGTGGCCCGGAGCCTCGAGTCAGAGGGGCCTGTCCACGGTGCACTGCCCCTGGGCTGGGACTCAGCCCGCAGCCTGCCTTCTTTTAGGTCCCAACCCTGCTCTTAGCTTCCTGGCACCCTGGGCCATGATGGGCAGGGCCTGGGCCAGGAAGCTCTTCCCTAGGCCGTGCCCCTCTCTCTCTCCCCCCAGCATGGTGCTAGAAGTGAAGTCAGGGGGGCACCCAGGTGTGTGTGGCACGGACAGGCCAGGGGCTACCTGAGCAGCTGGACCCAGTGCTGGAGCTGGTGCTGTTGCGTTTCTGTAGCGTCCTGCCCTGGAGACCTGGGGCACCGCAGCTCAGGCTGTAGCTGTTTTCCGAGTCTGCAGAGAGGCCAGTGGTGAAGTGGGCCTGGGTGCCCCTCCCTTCCAGCACCCCCAGATCCCAGGGGCCTCAGGGTGGGGTGGTGGTGGTAACTGAATGAGATGAAGGTCAGGACTGACCCTTTGTCAGTTCATTTCTGCAACACGACTATGGGGTCAGTGGCTGGGCAGGAATGAGCCCGCTGTACCTGCTGAGAGGGACACTGTGGCCCGTAGACAGCTGCCCAGAATCACATTGTGATCAGAGCTGAGGGTCCCCAATTCCTAGGTCAGGCTCCTTCCTGGAGAACAGCCAGGGGCAGGGGCTGGACCCCAGGGAAGGAAGCCTCCCATCCGCCGTCCCCTCCCGGGCACAGCTGTGGGTTACCTGGCATGAAGTGTGTGTGAGCTGGGCAGGACAGGAGGCAGCTCTCCACGCCTCCCACCTTACTGCAGGACAGCTGGGCCCGGGGTGAGGCCTTGGCCCGAGAAAGGCACTTGCCCGTCTCTGAGGAGAAGGAAGACAAGAGAGGGCTTGAGGGGGCCAAGGCGGGGACTTTCTGGGGCTGGCAGGGCCCCTGAGCATGGACCAACAGGGACTCCCACCACACCTCCGTCTTGGTGGGAAGGGGCTGGGGGCCGGCAGAGTCCAACATCCACCTGGATGTGTGGGGACACTGGGCTCAGAAAGCCAGCTTGGTCCCTTTTCCCAACACCAGTCCAGGCTGTCTGTCAGGAGGTTCATACCCACGCCCCGACCAGGCGCTCCCCGAGGGCAGAGTTCTCCAGAGCAGGTGACCATGCCCAGTGGGGAAAGGAAAGGCTGAAAACGGACATGCGCTTCTTGGAGGTGACCAACCTCTAAGCATGTGGGACCCCTCTCCGGAGCAGGCCCCGGACACGTCCGTTGAAGATGTCCAAAACTGAGCTCTTCAGGGTTTTTCAAGTGTTTATCTATCTTTTGAGATTAAAACATCCCCCAGACTCCAGGGATAAGACCGAGAGTTCTGTAGTTATGGTGAATATCAGGACTGATTTTATAGAATATCAGGACTAATTGGGCAAATAAACACGCCTCCGGAAGCATCACCCTCTGAGTCCATCGTCCATGGTGGCATTGCTCCAGGGAACAGGCTGAAAAAGGGGACTTAATTGGAAAAATAAATTGGAGTGGGAAACTGCCAATTTGGGTGATCTTCAACCCGAGGTTGAATGTTTTCAAGGAGTCTCAGAAAGTACAGAATCTATAAATAAAACAAACTCATGGCCCTCCAGATAAAACATCTGTTCCCCCAAATAAATGTAAGAACACAAAACCAAAAGTCCTCTGTTTGCGAAGAATAAAGAAACCACCAATAAAAACACCGACCCACAGGTAACGCAGGCTGGAAGGGCTGCTGGGAGAGCCCACGTTCACACTGGTTAGGAAACAGGACAACCATCCACAGGCTTCCAGGGGGACATGAGCCCCCCCGCAGTTCCCTGTTCATCCTCTAAACTCCCAGAGGGAAGTGTCAGTGACTGTAGATGGACCACAACACGGCTTTTTTGTTCGCATGGGGGCGATCCTGTGGGAGAGGCAAAACCCCCTGGCCCTGAGCGTCCCTGCAGGTCCTTGCTGGGGACAAAGGAAAGCAAAGCACTGATGGCTCTCTCCCCAGCAACCTCTAGGGATGAGGTGACATCTCCCTCCAGACAAGGGCAGGCTGGCTTTTGTTCACCATGAGGGCAGCGAGTGTCCCATGCTGGGTGTCCCTCAGTGGGATCCAAACCCACTGCCTGCACTGCATCAGCCTGGGATGGGACCAGTGGGGAAAGGGAGGGGAATCAACGAAAACACGCTGCTCGTGCTGCAGGCCACGCAGTCCTTTGTTTCTGACCCAGGGTCTCATGACTTCCGCCCGCACCCATGAAGCCAGAGCAGGCTAGCTGACTTAGCTTGTGAGTAGGGTGAAATCTCTGACTCCACCATAGATACCATTCACCCCAGCACCACGGAGCCTCACAGCCCACCGAGAAAAGTTTCAAGTTGCCTAAAAAGCAAGAGGGAAGGCAAACTGACTGGCAGTAGCAAAAACAAGGAAAAAAGGTACTTTTGCTTTTAAGGAAAGCTGCCTGGCTATGGGAGAATCTGAAAGGAGAGAGTGAGAGGCTGATTTGAGAAGGGACGGGAAGTTGTAGAAGGCTTGAGGGGACACGAAGTGGATGTGCTTGGGTTTCCTGCAACCACTCAAGTGGTGGGACTTTCTTAGGGTCCTCAGTTCTTACCCGAGTTCCAACCTGTAGCTGCACTCTTGGGACCGTTGTCACAAGACAGCCCCCCTTCTCTGGCCAAAGCCCCTACACATGTGGTGGGGAGGGATCGACTCTGTAAGTGGAGCTGCCAGCTCAAATATAGGTGACGTTATTTTAGGAGGCTCAGAAAATTCGCCACGTGATTCAAATGATAGCCGATAGGTGCCTTAATAGACCTACATTATGTGTGATTCAAACACAGAGTCCTTGGGGTGAAGGTTCCACGGCACCAGCAGAAGACCTGGAACAGAGCCCAGGAAGAGTCCAGGCCGAGTCTTCCCAGGTTGCCTTAAACTTTTTTCTTTTTTTGGTACAAACATGCAAAGGTTAGACTATGCTCTCAGGGAACAAACTCAACAACTTGACAAACACCTATGACCAAGGCGCGTCGTCCCTGCCTCAGAGTAATTCCAACCTTGGCTAACGTGGCTGAAGCATCTTCAGATTTCATACTTGCACCACCTTTACATCTGAGGGTACCACATGCAGTACGGTCCCTCCCGCGAACTGAAAACACCCAATACTTTTCCTGCTTGTCCATGACCTAATTATGGTGTCTGGCTCCTTCTCCTCTCTCACCTTCTCCTGAAGAAGAAACTTATCTTTGTGTGTCCATACTTTGGAAGTGTTCATATCCAGAACAGGCCTTTTGGACACTCCATACCCAAAACCCAACTTAATGTGGTTTATTGATGGGACTTGCCTTAAAAATGAAGAGCTCTTAAAATTTATATGGAAACTCAAGGGAAGTTCGAGACTAGCCAGGCCAATCTTGAACTTGAAAAACAAAGTTGGAGGACTCACACTCAAACTGGCTCTCCAGGCCAAACTTGTGGTCCTCTCTAGGGCACGTGGGATCGCTAAAGGAACAGGGTGAATTTGCACACTGACAGCTGCGGCATTTAACTTTGGAACGCTACAAAACAGAGGGTGACCGCCCATCGTGGAGACACAGAAGTTGGAGAGATGGCAATCAGAGGACATGTTTCCTGGATCGTGCTAAGCAGGCTGCTGGGAGGAAAGCCCTCAGTGCAGAGAGACGAATTCACAGAGAGGCCCAAGGAGCCCATGGCAGACCCATGGTGTTTGGCTTCCTCGTCTGGAAAGGAGCAAGGCAGCAATCGAGTTGTAAGATCCACGAGAAGGAGGTTTGGCGAAGCCGGACCAGACCACCCCACGTTGCTAACATCTCTAAGACAACTCACCCCAGTAAGGACACATTGGTTGTGATATCCCACAATGCTGGTGAGAAACTTTTCCAGGGCAGTGGAGGGAATGACCAGCTCATGATTCGTCCGTAACTAATAGACTCCTGGGGAAAGTGTAAAGATGGGACACACACTAGAACCCCAGGGACGCTTTGAGTATCTCCAAATGGATTTCATGGGTTATAAACATGTACGAGTAATAGTATGCTTGTTTTCTGGATGAACTGTATGAGTAATAGTATGCTTATTTTCTGGATGAACTGAAGCAGTCGCTTGTGCTGCAACGCTTGAAAAAAAATAGTGTTAAAAAAATAACGGGACTCGGGCCGGCCGAGGGGCGCGTTGGTTAAGAGTTGGCTTGGAGCGTGAGGTCTGAGCAGCAGGGTCCTGGTTCAGATCCCACATGAGGGCCAGTGATTCTGTGCCCTTTACAGCTAAGATGGTGAACAACAGTTCGACCTGGAGCTGGGCTGCCGTGAGTCACGGGTGACAGCATAGGCTGCAGTGGGCTGCTGTAAGCTACCATGAGTGGCCGGCAGCCTGCTTGAGCTGCCATGAATTGCTGTCCAATGGCTGGCAACCGATCTGCCTCACCTGGGAAGAGCGCAATGATCACAATACCAACATGGGCCAGTGAAGCAATGTCCTCCACAACTAGACTGAAGAACCAAAGGACAGCAACTTATCTGTTCCCCTTTCTTGATTCCCCAAAGCTGTCCCTCCCTCAATTCTCCAATAAAATCTTAAAAAAAAATAACAGGACTCATAGGGGCTAAAATATGATTAGATTTTGTGTTCCTGATTTGAGACATTCCAACTTATTTATTTGGTAATATGCAGACACGTTTTACTGGGAGAGCTATTCATCGATGACTCAGACATTTTACTGTCTTTATTACCCGTAATCTTTTGGAAAAATGGAAATGAATTTTTCAGAAGTGTAAGTCACCAGTTTGAGGTCATAAGCTGAGGTTTTCCCAAGAGCCTCTGGAAGCAGACAGTTCCCAGAAACCGACAGTCATCCAAGAGCCTCAAAACAGGAACACGACCACACGAAGAGACAGCTTTTGCCCAAGACCCCTGGAATAAATTCTCCTAGATGTTTGCAACCACTGCTTCCCATAATCCACTTTGCTCTTTGTTTTTTTTTTGGTCATGTTTTCCCTCCTTATGCATTTAAGGGGACACACTTCCGATGTATCCTATCACATTTCCCCTACAAATAATAACTCCCCTCGACCTGGGCTTTACTGGGGAGACCAACCATCCGATTCTTTAAGTTGGCTAGAGAAGCCAATATTGAAAAATGGTATAAAGTATGTTACACAAACCTTATTGATTGTGATACTCTCTGTAGATAAGACATAAAAAGGAAGGAAAGTACCCTGGCCCCGGGAGAGGCAGGTTCCCCCATCCTGCAACATATCTGACTGTTTATCACAAGGACACCCACAGACAGCATACCTATAGCTCCACTGAGGTTGATCCCACCTCTTACATGCAAGTCGGGCTCATCATTGTCACCCCAGGACCACAGCTAACTGTGCCCTGGGGCCATTAGACCGTTCCAAGTGAATGACGCCCCATTATCCTCATGATGCCTTCTTGTAAAGCATCTGAAGGAATAACAGCCTCAGAGGACATAAATAACGCCCGGGAAAGCAGGCTGCAGAGGCCGTTGGTCCCATCCACAGGAACCGGACAGCTCCAGTGGTCATCAGAAACTTGGTCGTCACTCTGGGTGCTGGACTAAGTAACACAGCCTATGGCATGGTGTGTGGGGGGCACAACAAACCAGCCTGACCTCCAAGTGCAAGTTGTCGCGGACAATAGGACCCTGGGTTTTCTTTTGGTTAAACAGGGGAGTCTGTGCCACTGCCAGCACTTCATTTCAAACCTGGATTCACAGCAGACGTGAGGGGGAACGGTCTATACGGAGGCCAAGAGAGGAAGCAACCTCAGGGCTGAAGGGAGACGGAGGGAGCTGGTTTTCTTGGTCAGCCCTGGGAATTCTTAGATCCTGGCTCTAGGGGGCCCTTCCAGCACCTTCTAACAACACCTTCAGTTATACTTGTTTGTCTCGACATTCCGTGTCTACTGCCCAGAATATTCATTGCTTTTATGCAGTCACGGTCCCCGCAGATGACTTAGAGACAAAAATGGGATTAAACCGCACGGATAGTGACGTGACGATCAGACCTCCTCCAATGAATGACTCTTCATGGAGGGTCGGTGGTGGTGGTGAAGATCAGGACAAGCCCAGGTGGCCTCTCCTGCAGCTCTGACTGAAGGATGACCAAAGTGGGGACCGAGAATAAAAGCCACAGCTCCCCAAATCCTACAGAAAGCCTGCTGGTCCGACAGCCCTGCTAACAAGTAAATACTATCCAGTCCACTGGATCGTTGGACATTTCTCTGAAAGCTGATCTATTGTGACAGCCCCAGGCCTGGAAAGTCAGCTGCCTGGTGGCAGATGGGCTCAGGGATCAGGCCTCTAAGGCTGGTGTCACCCATTCTTCCCTAGTGCCCAGCATGTGCCACGCTCCTAAAGCTGACATCGCCGAATCCTTCCTGTAACCAGCACAACCCAAACAGGCTCCTCCACAAACTCTAGACTGGACAGGGGCTTGCTTTGCTCAACAAGGCTTTGCCTGCACAGGAGCAGTTCTTACTTAAGCAATACAGTCAGCGTTTTGATTTTGGGCATTAAGTGACGGCGTCCATTCCTCAATACTTTCATCCATTCATTCAACAAATGTTTGCTGAGTGTCTATGACTGCCAGGCTCTGTTCTCGGTGCTGGGGAGAGCAGTGAACAAGACAGGCCCCAGGCTGGCCGAGTGGCGCGATGGTTAAGAACTGGCTTGGGACGCCAGAGGACCCCAGTTCGGATCCCACATATGAGGGCCAGTGACACTGCCCTCCACAGCTAAGATGCTGAACAACAGCTCAACCTGGAGCTGGGCTGCTGTGAGTCGCTGGCGATGGCGTAGGCTGCAGTCCCTGTGGCAGTGGGTTGCCATGGGCTACCATGTGTAGCCAGTAACCAGCGTGAGCGGCCAGCAGCCGCAGTGAGCGGCCGTCCAGAAGCCAGCAACTGATGTGCCTCGCCCGGGAAGAGCGCAATGATGGTGCCAACTTGGGCCAGAGAAGCAATGTCTTCCACAACTAGACTGAAGAACAAAACGACAGCAACGTGTCTGTTCCCCTCCCCCCAATTCCCCAGCACTGTTCCCATCCCCCCAATTCCCCAATAAAAATTAAAAAAAAAAAGAAAAAAAGAGAGGCCCCAAATACCTGCTCAGCTGTGGGGAGCATACAGTCTAGTGACGAACCCAATGGAGTATGTAAAATAGCTTCAAATAGCTATTGTGTCTGGTGGTTTGAGGTGTTATGGGAGGAAAGCAAAGCGGGAAAGCAGAGGGCAGCGGGGAGCGCAGAGGGGTGGGCTGTGGCTCTGGGTTTGTGTTCAGGGAAGGCCTCATGGGGCAGAACCCCCACAGCGAGGAAGCAGCCCCCAGGCCATGTGCACTGCACTCACGAGGTCAGTGAGTCTGGCATGGGGCTAGTGGGGGTGAGGGGGGAAGGTGGTCAGACCAGGGCGCAGCTGCCTTTTGGTCGTTCAGAGAACTCTGGCTCTGCTTCTCTGTGAAGAGGAGTCACTGGTGGGCTCTGAGCAGAGAGGACATATTCGGACTTAGATCTAAGAGGCTCACGCTGGCTGCCCTGGGGTGTTAGAGCACCAAGGTGCAGTACCAGAGAGCCATGTCAAGGACGTAGCCCCAGGGCTGGTACACAGGGTGTAGTCAGTATGTGTTTGTGGAGTCAGTGACCGTAGGGGATTGTCCAGAACTCAGCCTACAGGTGCCCAAGTACCCAGAACGCATCAGCAGAGGGTGCAGGACCCCTGTGCTCTCTGGAGGCCCCGCCCCCACCCGCCCTGCCTGACACTGTGGGGCCCACGGACTGGGCAGGTGGTGGGTTTGCAAAGACCCAGGTGTTCCTCCTTCAAGGCTCTGATGCTGCTGCGCCCTGTGTAACTCCCCCCACCCCAGATTCCTTGGCAGGACAAGGGAGAACTGGGGGAGCTCAGGCCTCCACATTCCATGGCCCCTAAGCTTCTAGCTTCTCCGGGGCTTACAGTCTGGCTGCACACACTGACCCTCAGCTCTGCGTCCCCCTCCCACCGCAGTTCTACCTCTTCCTCCAGGTGACGCCCAGCGTGCTCCCCATCTGTGCTCCCTGTCCTGTAAGCCCTCATCCTCGTTAGCCACATGCCAGCAGCAGAGAGCACCTGCCCTGTAGCCCCGAGGCCCAAAGGAAGCCAGGGGTCCTGCCTCTCTCCCCCCACCTGGAGAAGTCACTGCCCCTCCCATCAGGCACCAGGTGGAAGGGGAGGGGTCCCAGCAATGGCCACCCCCAGGGCACTCACCCACACAGTCCTTCCGGTTCCAGTGCAGCCGCCTCCCCGGCGGGCAGACGCATTCGTAGCTGCCCTTGGTGTTGACGCAGCCCTGGTCGCAGCTCCCACTGTCCACGCTGCACTCGTCCACATCTGCAAGCACAGGTGGGAGTAAGGCCAGGAGGCGGCTGGGCCAGCCAGCCCAGGACACACCCTTGGGGCTGGCAGGACAGGGCCCACCCAGGACAAGAGGGCCGAGAGTCCCCGACCCTAGACGGATGCTGCCATTGCATACGGGCGCGCAGCTGCACACATCACACACACAGGCGTGCACACACACACACTGTGTGCACACAAGGCTCCCACAGACACCAGCACACATCCTTCCTGCCCAGACTCGGGGGAGGGCAGAGAAGTGGCACAAAATTAAAGTTCCCATCAGGCCTTGTGGGGCAGGGTCATGCACCTTATCTCACTGGGGGACTCTGGGCAGTCCCTTCCCAGCTGGTTTTCCTTCATGGACAACAGGCACCAGGCTGAAGGAAGTCACCTCTAAAGCCCTCCACCTTCTGACCATCAAAGACCAAAAGCATCAGCTGGAGATGTGGGGGGAAGGGCTGGACCTGATTCATACTGGGGGCACGACTGTGAGCTTCCGGGCTGCCTGCATTCAGGGAGCAGCAGGCTCAGGGAAACCACTGCCCAGGTTTTGGGGAGTCCCTCTAGGAGAATTTGGAGCCCACCCCAGGAGCCACCCCCAGCCCCAGCTGTGCCTCATCACTTCACTGCCTGACCCCATTGGACCATCACAGCTACCCAGCAGACAGAGGGTGGCTGCCCCCACATCACAGGAAAGGAAGGGGTACCCAGGACTGTGGGGACACTCTCGGCAACCCCACCATCACCGCTATGCCCATACATCTCCAGGTCCCGTCGCCTGTGGCGTCTACATACATCTAGAACCTCCCCTTCTCTGCACCTCTCTCCACCCTGCCTGAGCTCCAGCAGCTCCCATGCCTGGAGCCGTCTCCCCACGGGTGCCCTGGGTTCCGCTCTCTGAAACATGTAACAGCAGAGCAATCTCATTACATGAACTTGGCCATGTCGCACCCCTGATTAAAGCCTCCAGGGGTTTCTCATCTCACTGGGAATAAAACCCCAAGTCCCCTCTGGGGCTCACGGAGCCCTGAGTCCTCCCTGTCTGCATCTCCCACCATGTTCACGGGGCTCTAGCCTCACCAGCTGCCTTGTGGTCCCTCTGCGCTCCCTATGCCTCAGTGCCTTTGCACACACCAGTCCTTCTGGAATGCGTCCCCTCATCTTGACCCAAACATTCCTCCCGTAGGATCCCTACTCTGCCCTCCTTGTTGTCACCCTCTTCAACTGGAATGAACTGTCCTCGGGATTCTCTATGTAGTGGCCACTGCCCGTTTGGACTGGGATCGCCTGTAACCACTGTTCCCAGGCCTATGCCCACAACCTGGCAGAGGCCTGGCACCTGGTGGAAACTTGCTGCCCTCCTCCCCCCGTCCTCCTGCCTTGCCCTTGGCTGAGCCCCTCTGCCCACCAGTCCCCAGTCTTGCTTAGGTCTCTCCCAGGCCCGGCAGAGTCAGGGTCAGGGGCGGGGTGTGGGGTGCAGTGTAGGTGGCCATGCGGCCAGGCGCGTGCCTCGGGGGGAAGGCGGCCCTGGCGGGCGGGCTGCAGACCTCCGCAGTGGGTTGTCCCATAGAGTGTGTAGCCGCGGTGACACAGGCACTGGAAGCTGCCGGGGGAGTTGATGCAGATGTGATCACAGGTCCGCTCGAAGGAGCACTCGTCGATGTCTGTGGCCACAGGGAGACAAAGTGTGGGAGGGGTTTCAGGCGGTGGTGGAAGGCCATGGCCTGTCACTCAGCCATGCAGCTTACATCTGTGCACAGACAGCCCCCGGGCCCCACTTCCTGTCGCTGCCCACTTTCCCATTTTGTCTCCATTAACCCCATGTTTCTGGGTTAGATGCCATCTCACATGATTTTCTGGAGGCGGGCAGGGTAGAAATACTTTGAATAGAAGGGATTATTATGAATCTCCATCATTTCAGTATCTTACATTCAACTGTGATTAGGATTGGTTTCTAATCCACACCTGCAGGAAGTTGACCAGGATTTGCCTGAGGAAGCAGCTGAATTGTGACATGAAACCAGGTCTTTTGGATACTGATCAAAGTATATTTTCTCATCACCCCAGGATGTCACTTGAGAAAATAAGGGAAATGGTACAAAAAGAAAGGGAGGAGGGGGGACATATGTTACCCGTAACGGAGAACAAGGTAGCCTTGATAGAGTGTGAAATTTTATTCTGAGCTTCCTGGCAGCCAGGGCAAAAAGGGAAAGAGGGAGGGCCATAGAATGCTTGTTACCAGAAAGGAGGAAACAAACCACATGCTCACAGGAGATAAGTCTGTCCTGGCTGTAAATTCTGAGGAAAAAGGCTTCCATGGGACAGTTGATGCGAGGCTCCTGCCTCTCCATGGGCACTGTAGCTGAAGTTCATTCTCTGAATACATTAGCTCATGTGACTACACACATATTCACAATATATGTGTGTTGTAATAACACTAGCACAAGGAAGGAATTGTACTCTGGGTTCTGGAAGGAGGTTGTGACCCCTCCTGGAGGGTGTGGCACCTGGGCTGGACCTTGAAGGATGGGGCCAGCTTGGAATGAAGGAATGAGAGTGGGTACTACAGGCAAAGGCTGGGAAGTGCAGCACGGGGCACCCAGAGGATTGTGCGGAGCTCAGCGGGGCTGGGGAGGTGTCTGGGTTTCCCCATCCCAAGCGCCGTGAGTGCCAAGCAAAGGAGCTTAGATCCCTCTCTGCTGGAGCTGCGGGGCCCAGGGTGGTGCTGGAGCAGGGGTGGGGCATGGCCAGAGCCCAAGGGCCTCCGAGATGAGCCTGGAAGAGGTTGGAAAAGACATGGCCAGAGCCCAGAGACACATCGCCGCCTCCTTCCAGGCAGCTGCCGCCTTTCTCGCAGGGCAGCTGGGGATGCAAAGTCCAGGGCCCTCCACAGAAGGCAACAAGGCAGATGGGAGAACAAAGTCAATGTGCAGAGGGGTCTTGACTGGGGCCTGGACAGATGCCGCGCTCCCAGCGGACCCTCTGCCCTGAGAGGAAGACACTGGCCCAGGTCACATGACTAGCCCCAGGGCAGGCTGGGCCTGGACCCTCCCTTACCAGCCTCCTGCTTGCCCCTCGCCCCTCAGGGCCTCCAGCTGCCCCAGGCCAGCCTCCGAGCCGCACTAACCGGCAGAAGCTGCAAGTCCATGGCCAGACTCAGCCACGTTCAGACTTCAACTGCCGGGGCCCCATGGAAATGAACCAACTAGACCACGACAGAGAAATCAGTGATGGAACCGGCCCTTCCTGCACACTGACCCCCAAACCTGAACCCATAGGGCACCCCTGTCTCTTTCTTAATGGCTTCATCCAAACCCACATGGCTCATCGTGGTCCCCCAAACTCCCTCAGTCCAGCAGTGCCACTTTCTCGATGCATTTACCTCCCTGGCCTCTCCTGGAAAATGCCTATTCATCATGCAAGCATCTCCCCAGGACGCCTTCCCTGACCACTGTCCACTGCCCATCCTCTGGGCTCTCACGGCATCCTGGCTGTCTGCTGGACTTGTGCTAGGCTCTGGTATTTGACCTCTGCCAGGACCTCTTAGCCCATTTCCTAGCAGGCGCCCTGGAACCCTAAGGACTGTTGGAGAGCGACTGCAGTGTGTTATGTCTTCCACCAGGTAGCAGTATCCCACCTCCGAAGCCACTGAAGGAGGCCTGGGGGGATCTGGGAAGGGAGGGGAGAGGGGGAACGGAGCTGGTGAGCCCCGCCACTGACTGGCTGTGCCACCTGGGACACGTGCCAATCCTTCTCCAGGCCTCAGTTCCCCATCCATAAAAGGGACAGGCTGGACAGGATGGCTTCTGAGGGTCCCTGGAGTCACAAAGGACAGGGAAGACAGGAAGGGCAGAAGCACAGGCTAAGGACCTGAAACTGCACTGTTTCCTCAGGCCCAGCCAGGCAGGGTGGACAAACCCTACCCTCACACTCACCTCCTCTCCCAGAAGCCTGGAAAAGCCTGGGAGGAGAAGGGACCCAACGGGGAAGGGGGTATCCCGGGGCCTGCGAGTGCCTGGGGCACGGGGCAGGCTCACCTTGGCACGTCCGCTCGTCGGTCAGCAGCTTGTAGCCCTTGCGGCAGCCACACTCGAAGCTGCCCACGGTGTTGCGGCAGAAGTGGTCGCAGCCTCCGTTGTTGACCAGGCACTCGTTGATGTCTGTGGAGCCAAGCGGGAGGGGCCAGGAGAATGGGCTCGGGCTACAAGGTGGGGACAACGGCCCAGCACCCGCCCTTCCCTGCCTGGCCCGCTGACCACTGCCCAGGGCTGACCTCAGGTCCCACCACTGAGCACGGGGGTGGGGGGCCTGGCTCCCAGCGGTGGGGGTCAGGAGGATGGGTTCCATCACCTCCCCCTGGAACTTGGCAAGCCTGGCATTCATGACACAGAAGCGAGAGGAACGGACGTCTGCTGTGTCGTGAAAGGCAACAGGGTCCATGACGCCCACCACATCCTTTCATCAGCAAATTCAGGGCAGCAGGCTGAGGGCAGCGAGGCCTGGGGGAGCCAGGCTGCCTCCCGATGGCTGTGACCCCGGATGAACTACTGGGCTCCCAGAGCCTTGGCTCTGGGTCTGTCAGACAAGGATCGGAAGTGCACCTACTTGGAAGAACACTGGGAGGCATAAACGAAATAACATCCGTACGGTGCTCAGTCAGGGCTCAAGAAACTCTTCCTCAAAAGTAGGCTTATGCCCGTTTTGCTGATGAGGAAACTGAGGCTTAAAAAGGGGGCGTAACGTTCTACCTGGTTGGAGATGCTGCAGCTGGGAGCGGGAAGGGGGTGTTCAGTCTGGTTCTTCCTGCCACCCCACCCCAACTCCCGCCTGTTGGTTTGAGCCATTTTTTAATGCAGCATTTACAGAATTATGGCTGTACCCTGAAGGTCACCTGCCCGATCCCATGCCACAAATGTCCCCCTCCCGAGTGTCCCATACCCGCCGTGATGGCAGCTTTCTCCCTCACAGCGCGGCCTGTTGGCTGATGCACCCTGAGCCCTGTGAACCCCTCCTGCCCCCTCGCCCTGCTCATCTGGGCTCTGCTCTTGGCTGAGGCCAGCCTGGCAGATGGTGTCCTCAGAGACGCTGTCCCTGAAGTGCCTCTTCTTATTCCAAAGTCCCCCTTGGGCCTCGACCCCCAGGTCTCCCACACTGGTCACATACCCCAGACACGACTCAGCAATTAGTGACAGAACTAAGAGGTGGCTGTCAGGATGGGGTTCTCATCCTGATTCGGAGGAGCTGAAAAGGAAGCGATGGAAGAGGCCCTCCCAGCAGGGAGAACAGAAAGGACTTATCCACGTGGGCCTCCACATCTCAGCACATCTGCCCACTCAGATTCCAGCGCCAGCAGAGCCTGACCTGAACATGAGGGTCTGGACGCCTGAGTCCCGTGCAACTGGCATGTCCCTGTGATCAAGGTCATTTTAGTGAACCCCCCAGAGGAGGCTGGGTCCTATCCCAGCGACTCCGGTCTCAGGCCGAGCCTCTCAGATGCTACTCTTGCTTTGTTTTCCTCAAACCAAACAGGCTGGACTTAACACCTGTTTAAAAAGTCCTAAAGCAGGGCTGGCTGAGTGGCTCAGTTGGTTAAGAGCTCGCTCAAGAGTTTGAGCTCTGAGCAACAGCAGTTCGAGTCCAGCCCGAGCTGAGCAGCCACTGAGCTGCCATCAGGTAGCAGGATGGCTCAGCTAAAAAAAAAAAAAAAAGTCCTAAAGCAGGGCTGGCTGAGTGGCTCAGTTGGTTAAGAGCTCGCTCAAGAGTTTGAGCTCTGAGCAACAGCAGTTCGAGTCCAGCCCGAGCTGAGCAGCCGCTGAGCTGCCAACAGGTGGCAGGATGGCTCAGCTAAAAAAAAAAAAAAAAAGTCCTAAAGCAGCGTTCCCCAACAACAAAACACAAGCCAGGTCTTTGGTCAAGTTCATTAGGAGAAGGCGAAGTTTAAAGAGAGAGAGAGGCTGAGACCCAACACGGGCAATTCTGGGGCCTCTGGGAGTGGACAGCTCAGCGAGCCAGGCAGGGGGCATCCGGGAGGCCCTGGTGGGACTGGGCGCTGGGGAACACAGGACACCCAGTGGGTGCCCTGCAGCTCCTGCCCTTGGCCAGCCTCTCCCAGGCACTTCCACCCCAAAGACCCACTCCAGCTGCATATTCAGGAGATTTTGGCACCAGGAGGGTGGGAAGGGAGGGGAACCTGAGGTGCTCCCCACTGAGGGAGGCAGCTGGGGTGTGTGCGCTTCACTAGCCCTGACTCCGCCCCCTGGCTCTGCCACCATGGGCAGGGGCACTTCACCTCTCTGAACACACTAGGTGCTCTGTGCGTGAGCACTGAAATGATTACTGAGAACAATGACTTCTCAGCACTGGCTGGTCTGCACACGGCCCCAAGCTCACATCCCAGGGACAGACTTGTCTAAGGGTGAGCCCACACCAGAGCAGGCAGTGTGACCCTTGCAGTCACTGCACATACTGGGCACCACCTCATGCTGGTGACCAGGGTAAGCACTTTCTGGCAAGACCTTGTATGATCCTCAAAACAACTGGGGGGAACCAGATCTCCCCTTTACAGAGGAGGTCATAGAGACACACCGCTCCAGCTGTTTCCGAGGGGCCTTCTCCAGCACACCTCGCTGGCTTTGCAGCCTCCAGGGAACGAAGACGTGAAGTCCAGTGAGGACGTGTCCAGGGCGAGTCTGGGCACCTCCATCGTCCCCTCCCCTGGGGCTTACAGGAAGACGAGAATTTCAGGCTAAAAGCCTCTGGCAGGAGAACAGAGGCCAGGCTCAGCTCTGCCCCAGCCAGCTGTGTAATCCCGGGCAGGGAAAGGCACCTCTGAGCCCGGGCTCCCCATCTGTGAACCAGGCTGTTAACAGGCGCCTCTTCCAGCATCACTGGTAAGCCTGAATGTGCACATGGGGCTTGCCTCCTCGGGAATGCCGCAGGCATTCCGGAACCCCCAATCCCATCCCTTCCCCATCTGGGCCTGTCAGCTAAGGGGCTACCATAGCAACCAGACAGGCGGCGGGAGGCATGTGTGCCTGAGGCCCAGGCTGGTGTAGCAGGCTGCCTGGGGGTCAGACAGGGGGCGGTATCCCCAGCTCTAGCCCAAGATACAGTGAGAGGGCGCTGGGGTCACACAGCCCCTCAACCTTCATTCTAATGGGGTGCATCCCAGGGGTACAGCTCCTTTCTACTTCCTGCCCCTCTAAGACTTCCTTCCTTGTCCACTGTGCTCCCACCTACCCCTCACCAGGCTGCCAGACGTCCCTACATGTTCACAAGTCTTCTGTGGCCTTCTGTTGTCTCAAAGGAAAGGCCCAGCCCCGTGTGCAGAGGCCTGCAGCCCTTTCCTTTGGGGCCGGGGCCTGGCGGCCTTGCCACCTCTTTCTGCAAGCTGGGCTCCGGCCTTGGCAGCCCAGACTCCGGCCACCCCACCGGGAGCAGCCTCCGCCCCAGCCTGCCCCTGGGAACAACCGCCCCTCTGGAAGCCTTCGGTGACATTCTCTCCAGAGTCAGCTGCTCTCCCTGGTCCCTGGACCCGCCCTCAGGGTGATGAGAGGGGCGTCGAGGACAGAGACGGGGAATATCCGACTCCTGTCTGGAGCCCCAGGGCCCAGCATGAGGCCTGCACAGAGTGACTGCCCAGGAGTGTCACTGGATGAATGAATAAATGAATGCGTGGATGAATGAGTTAGGGTGGCTGAGAGAAGGGCGGGGTCTTAGGCCATCGCATGGACTATTCAAATGCATCAATCAATGTTCTAGCATCAGTGATCGTGTGTGTGTGTGTGTGTGTGTGTGTGTGTGTGTGTGTGTGTGTGTGTGTNGACTATTCAAATGCATCAATCAATGTTCTAGCATCAGTGATCGTGTGTGTGTGTGTGTGTGTGTGTGTGTGTGTGTGTGTGTGTGTGTGTGTGTGGAGGGGGAGAGGCACAGCCTGGCAGCCCAGGTGCTATGTGGGTGAGGGCTTCTGGGTGGGGTAGATGGAGGGCCTGGGGGAGTGGGCTGGCAACACCCTAGTGGGGAGGGCAGGCTGCAGGACTAGGCTGGCCTGGCAGAAGGCAGAAGAGAGAAGAGGAAACGGGCGGTGGGTGGGGTTCTCCCGGACTGTTCTGGAAGGTGACGGGAGGAGTGGCTGGTGTGCCTGAGGAAACCCAGGCTCCAGCTCAGGGAGGAGGCCCCAGACCTCCCTCCACTTGGAAGGGCCAACTAACCAGGTGCCTGCTTCCCAATATCAGATAGGTGCAGCAACAAACAGAGAGCCTTGAGACTGGACCCCTGCACCATCCACACTCTCGAAACAAAGCGAGGGCTTAGGGCAAATCCTCCAGACGCCCCGCCATGCCCCCATGTTTTAGGCAGAACACCCACCCCCCCTTTTCCCACACCCGCCTCCATTAGCCCGTGTGGTCCCCATCAGCTCAGGGTTTTCGGCTCTGGGATTTCTGAGGCCTCTGCTACCTCGACCCTCCAGCCTTCGGCCTTGCTTGACAGTGACTTTTTTGGCTTCCAGAAAACACGGAACCTTTGAAATCGCTCCTTTGATATCCTCCTCAGGGTCCTTGCCCAAGCTAGGGTGGGCACGCTGGCTGAGGAGCCGGAGCCCCAGGGCCAGGGCCTCCAGTTTGCTGGGAACCCCCAGTGGGGCTTGCCCCTGCCAAACCCCCGCCCCGTGACCTGCACCGCTCCAGCCAGTCCCTGGGGAATTCGGGCTGTGAGCCCACGGCTCTAAGACACCAAACCCCGGGGTCTGGAGGTCAAGGTTTGGTTGCCAGGGTTCCCTGATCTGAAGATGCTATGATGTTCATATTAGGCAGTTCTAGACTAGTCCCCTGATCCTTAAATTCTAATATTTATGACACTATCCAGAATAATCTTCTCCACCTCCATTGCCACCGCCTGGCCCAAGCCACTGTTATCTCGAGCCTGGGTGATGGCAACAGCTGCCTCACTGCTCTTCTGGACCCTGCACAGACACCCCTGTCCAAGCAGTGGCCAGGGATCATCTCAAAATGAAAAGCTGGGCCTGTGCTGCACCTGCCCAGCAGCTTCTGGGGCCTCGCCAAGGCTCGAAGAATGAAAGGCCCACCCCTGCCCTGGCCCACAGGCCCTGCATGGACCTGGGCACACTGGCTGCCTCTGGGTCCTCGAACCCGGGCCTCTGCACAGCAGTCACATGCGGTTGGCAGTGCCGCCCTGATTGACGCCTCTCCCTCTGCCCTCTGCCTCCCCAAGCCCAGGCCAGGCCTGGGCCCCTGTCTCCTGCCATGTGGTACTTCTCCATCCGACACCAACACGTTTATCTCAGTGATTTTAAACAACGAAAACCTATCTTCTGCACTTGATGGGGAATGTTTTGTTCACTTGTCTCGCCAGCACCTGCACACAGGAGCCCAGAAAACCCATCTGGAACATGAGTGAACGAGAAGGTTTTCTGACTCCAGGAGAGAGAGTGAGATTTCACCAAAGGTAAAGGGCCGACTGTCTCAAGAGGGGCCACAGGAAACGGGGTGGGGGCCCGGGCTGTGTGGACAGCTCCCTTAGCACCTCCCCCAGACATTGGAGAGGTGGCGACGGATGCCCCCTGGGCCACCAAGGGATAGGCAGGGGCAGCAGTCAAAGCCACCCCTCAGGTGCTCCTCTTGGGCCACATGACAGCTGAGGCCACTTTCTGGCCCAGGCAGGTCAGTTCCCAGTGAGCTCCTGGCTTCACCTCAGGAATTAAGCCATGCCCGCCTCTCAGGTCCTGGGTCACCGCTGCATCCTGGAGGCGGGCAGAGAGGCCTGATTCTACCCTCTTCTGTCCCGGCTCCAAGGGCAAGGGGCCAGGCCTGCTGTGACACTGCTGGGCTGTGAGGATGGCTGGGACGGTGGTGGACCCGTGGCTGTCCTCTTGGCATCAAGTCTACGTGGCGAGGCCTCAGATACCACCCACCTGCCCACCAGCCTGCCGGGCACGTACCTCGGCTGTGAATGGGCTGAGCGGAGGCTACAGAAGGGCTTTGTTTTCAAGTAAACAGGTGGAAGGGCTGCTATTTCTGTCAACATCACTAGGTCCTTCCCAGCACAGTGGCAGGAAGGAGGTCACACTGTCTATTTTAAGAGGCTCAAAAAAAATAGTCCACCTTGGACTATTGAAGTTACCCAGAGCCTCCACCGTGAGTATTTTCACTCACAGGACTTCGGAAGTTCAAGTGCCTCTCCTCTTCCACGCTGCCTTCCAGTCCTGCCCCGCTTTCTCCTCTTCCACGCTGCCTTCCAGTCTTGCCCCGCTTTCTGGCCGGTTAGCCGGGCCTTGGCGGGCCGGGCTGTGGGGCAGCGCGGAGGGGCTGCACCTCACTCCTGGAGAGGGCTGTGGTGTGTGGGCCTGCCTCCCTGCCTGGGCCGCCCCCCTTGCCCCCTGTCCCCCCACACACTGCAGGGCTGGCCCCTTCAGTCTCCAGAGCTCAGCCAGCTCTCACCTCCCTGCTCCCTTCCCAGCACAAGGATTCTCAGACCCTCCAGTTCCGCATCTTCTAACTGCAAACGGAGTTCCTTCTGCTTCCTCAGTCTTTCAGTTGAGGCCCCCCCACAACTTCACTCCTCCAGTGACAGGGACACACGGTGTCCTCAGTTTTCTAACGGTGACCAGCCCTGCGCTTCCCCAGACACCCTCCACCACGCTGTCACAACTACGACGGGGGGTGAGGGAACATGCCACCCCCCACCCCAGGGGATGCCACACAATCGCTGAGGCACCTGTCACCCAACATGCAGCCAGATCCTTTGATATGAGAGCCCTGTCCTTGCCCAGGAACCTATAGATCTGCGGTGGAACCGATGCTCCCTGGGACCCTGGGGGGCAGCGCTGGAGTGGACCCTCCCTCTCCTGGCCTCTCCTACAGAAATGCAGGTGACTGCTGAGTTTCCTGGCCCTGTGGTCACACGGGGACCCACGCCCACCCCACTGTGCAGCCCCTGCTCTGCAGTGGGCCAGGTGTGTGGAAGGGGGCGCGCGCCCGAGTGGCTCCGTGCTGACCTTTGCACGTCTTCCCGTCGGGCTGCAGCGTGAATCCAACCGGGCAGCTGCATCGCACTCCGGTGGCTGTGTCTTTGCACGTCCGGTCACAGCCTCCATTATTTACTGCGCACGTCTCTGGGGAGAGAAAGAGACAGACACGCTCAGTCTCCTCGAACAGAAGCCGCCGCCTTTCCCCGTCTGTGGGGGGATCTCCTGAAAGAGCGGACCTGAGTTCACGTTCTGGCTCTGATACCCTCTAGTTGTGGAGTTTCTTTGAACCCCACGGCCCCCCACCTGTAAAATGGGAGAATGACACCATTCCTGTGGGTAGCTGGTGAGCATGATGATGATGGTGGACAGGAGAATGGTTTGCAAGCTGCAGAGGGCTGTGCTTGTGTCACAGTCACTGCCAACAGGGTTGCCACCACTGCTGGGGCCAGTGCTGAGGTCAGCCTGGCTGGTCCTGAACTGCCCAGGCCAGGTTCCTAAGCCCTCGCCCTACTGGTGCACACTGGGGATCCTGAACTCTCAGCACGGAATGGCCCGTAGTCCTGGCTGTGGAGTCACGGGGGAGGTTCTCCGAGCCCGCACACCATCCATCACCTCGATGAGGCTCTCAGCCCAACATCTGTTCTCACTGAAGGATACGCCAAAGGCGTCTGGTTTGTGTCCACTTGAAGCTTGTCTAGGGCTTTTTTTTTTCCTCTTTTGCAAATTCAAAGGGGCTGGAGTGGCGGGGGCATAGCTGAGGCCACTGAACCTGTCGTGTGGTGAGAGTGATCCTCCGCAGGCCTGCAAGGGGCTGGCAGAGCCGGGTCACCAGGGCTCAGGTGGCTTGCAGACAGAGGAGCCCAGCTCCTGGACCTCTGAGCCTTTCAGTCCAGGTTTCTTGGAGCATCTGGTGTGCTTTGATCTTGGGGGAACTATGTCTGCATGGGCTTCCCTCTTCTCCTGGCCTCTAGGAAGTGTAGAGCCAGTGGGCCCCTCAGACCCCCTTGCCTACCTTAGCTTCCCCTGGGAGCCTGGCCCTGGTGGGCCTTTTCCCCGAGATCCCCCAGTTTATTCTGTTTGTCCATCTGTGCTGATGCCTGCGAGCTGCCTTTGGTTCTCTCTGGGAGGAGTTTGGGGATGAATGTAGGAATAATGACTAAATGAATACATACCCCCAGTTATCAACAGTTCCTGCTGCTACTTAGACCAAATTCATGGTGGTTTCCCTTCGAACTTCAGCTTGTGCAGGGTGGGTGGAGCAGGGAGAGGAAATCCCTCCTTGCCCCCCCATGTGTGTGTGAGTGTGCATCTGTGAGTCTGTGGGGCGGCTGTGGCAGGTGTTGTAATGACCTCAGGGGCTGCCTGCCATGGAGGGCCACCCAGCCTTCCTTTCTAGGCTAAATGTCTTCGCCATGACAGGAGGAGCTGTAACTGCTACCGAAGGAGTCTCCTTGGCCCTGGCCATTCCTGGCCTGTTTTCCAGTGGGTCTCCACAAACTCTAAGCCTCCAGCTGGGTGTGGGCAGCTTCTGTGAGCCTCCCTGCCCGTGTGTGTGCTGGCCCAGTGGCTGGAGGCCTGCCTGCTCATGTTTCAAGGCCAACCTCAAGGACCATTTCCCTAGACACAGAAAGAAGGCGATTGTCGGCGACTATCTTTCCCTGCACTCATGCAGGTGGGCCTCTACGCTAGCACAAGCCGAGTTCTGACTGGCACATGGCCGGCTCACGCCCTCTCGTCTCCCCACTGGACCGTCTACTGGGGTAGTGGTGCTGGGCGAGCCAAGGTGTGAATCCTGGCTCAGTCACTCACTGAGTGACCCAGGTAGGTCACCCCTCGGGGCCGAGCCTCAGCACCCACACTGGCAGGTGAGGATGACAAACCTTCCCATCCAGGGCTGAGGTGATCAAACAAAGTCCCCACTTACTGGCTCCTGGCCCGGGTCCTGACTCATAGTAGTTGCTTAACAAATGCTCGTAGCCTCTCCTGAGGCTACAACCAGAGATGGAAATCCCAGCTCCTAGGCCCAGATCGAAGAGCCAACAGACACCTCAAGTGCCTTTCAGCCTTTCATGTGGGAGAACCCCGGGGCAGGGCACCTGCCTGCTTTAAGGTGCAGGTCATTAGGTCCAGGCCCTGGAGAGACGGGGTAACATCCTGGGGGCAGAGGCGCAGAAAGATCTGAGAGCTTGGGGCACAGCTGGGTGGCCTTACCCAGTGACAGCAGGATGACCACCAGGCCTCTCCATGGTGGTGGAGATAGGGTGTGGCACGTGGCCTGGGCTGTGATCCTGAGACATGGAGCTGGCCAGACAGGCTCCAAGAGTCTCATAGGCCCTTCCCATCTCTGGAGGCCACGATGGGACTCGGATCTTGGCCCTCCAGAGCGAAGCGGGCCTCAGGGACCTGCTGGCCACCTGCCCACTAGACAGATGGAGGCCAAGAGGTGGCTGAGGTGGAGCCTGAATGGCTACCCGCCCTCCGGACCCTCAGCGCAGGCCTCTTTTCTGCATCGTGCACACTTTAGTCTCCTGCGTTGCCCTATAGCTGTTGCCTAAACTTCAGGTTTTGAGCCAGGGGCTCCTGGGTGCCGACCCCCCCATCTCACAGCTCCTCATTACGGTGGGTCACTTGCACCAGGCCCGCCCCAGCCTTCCAGGCCTTCGTCCCGCACACTCACAGTAGCTCTGTGAAACGGCTTCTGTGCCCTCTGCTTCCCTGGTGAGCAAAGGGTGCAGAGTGCTTGAAACTTGCCCAGGGAGGTGTGGCCAGAAAGTGGCAGAGCTGGTGGGACCCGCTGGTCTAACTCCAGCCCAGCTGACAGCCTTAAAGTTCCTTCTCCAGCCAGCCCCAGGCCTAGCCCCAGCCTCAGGGCCTTGTATAGCCAAGTGCCCCATCTCCCCTGCCCCCAAGACTCCTCTTTCAGGCTCCCTGTCCTCATCAACGCTTCCATCTGTCCCCAGGCCGCATCCTCAGAGGCGCCCTCACCCACCTCACCTGGGGCCCAGGGCCTGCGCTTGCTACTTGTTTGACATCCGATTCCAGCCCATGCTTTTACTCTGCCCTTTTAGGCCTGGTCACTAATGTCCTCCTGTGTGACTTTCATGGCCTCCCAGTGGTCCTTCCTCCTCCAGACCATGGCCTCACTCTGGTGAGCCAGTGGCTTCAGGCTGGTGTAGTAGTGCCAGGAGCCAGGCCCTGTGCTGGGGGAGGGGCGGAGTAAGCAGCCTGTCCTCGGTGTCACCCTGGTGGGGGCCTCGGGCAGGCTACTGCCTCCAGCACCCCTACAGCACAGGGTTGGTAGTTTCTGCCATGCCCACCTCAGATGTATTGCTCTGAGGCTAACAGATGTACGCTGTACTGACACATATGGAGAGGGTGGCAGTGAAGTTTATCTGGCCCTTTGGGCTAAAGTGGAGGTCGACTGAGGTCTACAGTTATAGGACAGGCTGACCTGGGTGAGACCAAGTCCTGTCCATGGCAGCTTCCAGGTGGAGCCTACTGGGTGCTGCTAAGGAGGCTCCTTGCCTTGCATGGCGGTCACCCTGGGCCACCGCCCGGCCCCCATCTCTGAGTGCCGTGAACAGCAGCCTCACCTCTGTCCCCAGGACTAGAGGCCACCCAGGTCTGATATTAGTGCTCTGCTGTCCCAGATTCAGAAACCAGGCACTGTGTCCTCTCCCCTGACAACAGTCACACCAAATACGAGCAGCAAATGTGAGCTGGGACTGCAGCGGTGGCTCTGGCTCTGAGAGAGGCCAGAGGAGTGGGCTCATCCCAGGTCTCCCCGACTCCACCCGCCCCCAGGGACCAGAAGGAGCTGGGGCTAAGGGTAGGTGTGGCTCTGGAAGCCTATCGGTGAGGCCGCACCCTGTCCAGAAGCACATGGTGGGAATGGAGGCTGGAGTCCAGTTGCCAGCCCTTCGGGGCAGTGAAGGGGGCCAGGGCAGAGCCACACCCCAGAGCGCTGACCAGTGATCTGAGCACTTCCTCTGGGGCCCTCCCTGCCAGTCCTCCAGGCTCTGCCTGAAGCCGCCTCCCCATGAGAACTACGGCTTCTTTCTAAAGGCCCCCCTCTCCGCCTGGAGCTACAGGGGAACAAACCTCCCAGGGCACTGTCCCTTACAGCTGACCAAGCGCCTTTTCATCCACTAACCTCCCCGGGCCTCCCAGCAGCTCCAGACGGGGGGACCTTTCGCAGGCAGAGAATCTGAGGTTTAGAGAAGTTGAGTAACTTGTCCAGGTAGGATCAACTAAATTATTTAGGGGACCCAGTGTGAAATAAAAATGAAGGGCACTTGCCTAAAACTTAAGGATTTCAAGACAGACAGCAGATGGTGGGTCCTTCTAAGGGCAGGGCCTTGGTGAGTGCCTGGGTCACGTAACCTGTGAAGCCAGCCCGGTGTTCTGGATCACACAGCCTTTGGGAGGAGCTGGGATTTGGACCCAAGACTCTGAGGCTCCAGGCTGATGAGCGAACAAGACTAGAGCCGGACCCTCGACGGGGATCCTGAGGGGTGGCTCAGGGAGGGGGCCTGAGAAGGTGAGATGTGTGCCCACGGGGCCCGGCCCCCTCACCTAGCCAGTGGGGAGAACTCTTACCCACAGGGCTGGGCTGGCAAGGGGGGGAGGCCGGGCAGGGGTTGGGGATTCTAAGGTGGGATGGAGCCGAGGAGCAAATACCTTTGCAGCCGGCGGGAAAACCCCAGATATGTTAAAAGGCTGGTTTTGGTCTTGAGGGACCCCTGCTACGGGCCAGGCCCTGGACAGCCGCTGAGCAGGGAAGGCGGGCCACTCAATTGGACCAGCCATGCAGCCCAGACAGAGGGACCAGGAGGACAGAAGGATGCCCTGAGTTGGCACTGCCTGCTTGCACCGCTCTAGGTCTGGGGGAGGTCCAGCAAGGCCCGTGAAGGACCATGGGGTAGACAGGCCATGAGCTGCGGGGTCAGCAGGCAGGGCTCTACATGTGGGTCCTGCGAACCCGGGCCGGTCCCTTCACGTCTCAGGGTCTGAGTTTCCTGATGTGTGATGCGGAGATGATGGTGTTTACCACATACTTCTCGCAAGGCCCAGACAGAATGCGGACATGTCAGTGCTCTGTGACATGCCCTAACTGACGCACGCTCACTCGTGGTGCCGCTTCT